TGCCTTGGACCTTCTTTCCATAAATCTCTGAAATTGGCTTTCAGTTCATGCCAATTCATTTGCCTCTTTTCCTTACATTTAAATGCCACAACAATACAAATCTGACCACTCAAGGAATTCAGTTACTTGGACTTCAGTCGATAAAATTCAGTAGAAGTAGAAGACAAGATGTACTTTTGATTGTTATTTTTTTGAGTCCTCATTTATATGTGAGAAGTGTAGTGATATTGTGTATTATCACCTTGGGTGTAAAATACATAGTATGTTATTTGATCAAGGATGGAAGAAAATGGAGTAACAGTAAAGAGAAGAGGGAAGAAAGATGCCTGCTTTGAGGTAATGTGACCACTGCCATCTGTCAAAAGGAAGAAGCAGGATGCTTCATTATTTATGGCAGACTCAATGAAGAGGTAAGCTCAGGGCTTGAGTTAAGTTAATACTTGTTAACTGCCCTTGTTAGATGATCCGTGCCTGGGACAGGCTTTATCTAGGACTATCTCCTCTCATCTGTCTCCTGAAGAAAAGTCTTCCAACTTTCAGTGTAGTCTAAGAAAGGCATCAGGATAAAATTAATAGTCGCTTTTTATCTGTGTCTAACTTTTATCAAACCCAGTGCATCAGTGACTTAAAAAATCCTCCAGCTAATTTGTGTGCCCTTCCACTCTGCTTTCAAAATAGTATGACCAAAAAGACTTTAGATAAAAAATGATGGGGAAATGAGGAGGAAGTGTACATTTTGTCAGGACTTGGACATGCTTATGATAGTTGGTGCGTTCATAGAGGACTGTGATTGGGGGCACTGCCTTTTTTTTTTTGGTACTGGGGATCGAACTTGGGACCTTGCGCTTGTGAGGCAGGTGGCGGAACCACTGAGCTAAATCCCCAGTCCTCACTGTTCCTTTTTCCTAAGCGCAACTTTTTAAACTGTCATTTCCTCAAAACCAAAAGCTTGATTATTGAAGCACTTGTTCTCAGAGTCAGTGTTGGTTCATTAGAGTGAGTCAACTCTATTGTCTGAAAAGAAGCCAAGTTCCATTTAACTTTTGTTTTTAATTGTCATTTACACAGCAGGCACAGTTATCTGAACACTCTTAGGGGAGCAGCTATGAAAAATTTTAAAGTGATGACAAAATCATTGAATAACTATAAAAACTAATGTGATGTTTGTTCAGAGCCAAAGGAAAAGGAAGGGAGAATGTAAAATACCTGACAATAAAACCGGTTCATAAAAACAGTGATAATTGCATATTGGTCTAGAGGATTTGAGAAGGTTCGAATTTAGAGGCTTCTGTTGGAATACGTTTTTCACAAGTCAGATCAGCTTGCTTTCGTCACCAGTGAGAGCTGTCAGCAGGAGAAGCCATCAGAAGTTAAGCTTAACAGGAGGGTACTAGAAGCTGGGTAACATGGAGTCCCGAGAGGTATGAATAAAGCCAGTAATTAAAGGCTGGTAATAAACTTTCATTACAATTAAACCAGGCCCATAAATAGTACCAGGACAGGCATAACCCAGGAGATTTGGATTTAAGGAAGAGGAAACACTCGATTCTAGGAATATATCCTAGAGACCAAGTAATGACAGTGACAAGTTGAGTTTCCCTTATACGAAATGCTTGGGACCAGAAGTGTTTCAGATTTTAGAGTTCTTCAGATTGCTATAATAATTTTAAAAATGATTTTAATAATCACTGTATATTTTGATCACCCCTTATACAATTAAAACTTTTTTATTTTTTTTTATTTCTTTTTTTTTTTTTGGTGCCAGAGATTGAACTCGGGTCCTTGTGCTTGCAAAGCAGGCGGTAGAACCACTGAGCTAAATCCCCGGGCAAAATTTTTTTAAAAAATGGATGAAACTAAATCACTTAAAAATGTAATGGTTTTCTAGTTGCAAAATGCATTCACATGGTTTTCCCCATTTGGTCTCCATATGAAGTTGAGAGAGAAGTGTTACTTTATTTTATGCTTGAGAAAATGGAATTGAACTGATTGTTTTTTCAATTCATAGCTAGTAAGTGCCTGCAGTTCTTGGTATGAAGCTCGATATTTGTGTTCTATAAACTGCAGTTTACTGTAAAGAAGCAATAGTATTTGTTGTCCATAAGTGTAATAAATTTTCTGTCCTTATGGGTAATATGCAATTAATTTTTTTTATTTTGGTACTGGGATCAAACTTGGGACCTTGCACTTGAGAGGCAGGTGGCAGAACCACTGAGCTAAATCCCCGGCCCTTACAATTCATTTTATAGTGAATTATCAGAGCATCAGAAAATAATACAAGGACTTAGACTTTTGTGTATAGTAAAGCATGTTTGGATTTTGAAAAATTTGATGTCCATGCAGCTTTTCAAGCATAGGTTTTTTTGGATTTTTTTTTTTTTTTTTTTTGAAACAGGATCTCTTTATGTGGTTTAGGCTGGCCTTCAATTCACAATCCTCCTATCTCATATTCCTGAGTGCCGGATTACAGATGTGTGCCACCATGCCTGGCAAGCACAGGTCTTTCATAGAACTTTCTCCTGTGTAATGTTGGAGGGGCAGTGTGGTGTGCTGTAAAGCTTTTCAAACTTTAATGGCACAAGAATTGCTTGAATTTAATCGCTTTTTAGGACCCAGAAAGCTTTCTAGGTAATTCTGGTAGAGGTGGTCCTGGGAAAGTATTTGGGGAAACACTGAAGAATATCTACTTCAAAAGTCAGTGGTGATTTGACCCACAATACCCCTTCAGTTCTTGGCATAGAACATGGTACATACTAAATGTTCAAAATATTCTGTTCGTAGGTGATGGCATGGTTAGCAGCTAAGAAGCCTGAGAATATTCATTGTTTTCATTCAACCAAATATACCCCATTCCTGTTTACGTAGGAATTGGCAGATATAAAAGGACAATGGGCAGTTCTCTTGTAGAACTTATTTGAAAGACTAATAGTAAAGGTCTAATTCTTCCTTTGTAAAATATTGTAAAATAAAAATTAATATTGAAGGCATGCTTGTGCAATCTTCCCCCTGCAAATTAAAAAATTCTTTTTTTTTTTATTTGAATGAGGCTTACAGGTCAAGGAAATGGACTGATTATTATTTCTATGCTTTATTTTTGATCTAAAACTATACTAGCCAGTACAGCTACAAAGGCAGCTATTTAATTTAAATGAATTAAAATTGAATAACAGTAGAAATAGAGTTCCTCAGTGGCATTAGCTACATTTTAGGGGCTCAGCAGCCACCTGTGGTGAAGGGGCTGCCTTACTGGGCTGCAGATGTGGAACGTGTCCAGCATTGCACAAAGTTCAGCTTGACTGTGGTGCTCTAGAGTCCAGAACAACAGAGCAGTGACTTTCCAGTGGCTTTGATATGTGAATTGATTTTGAGGTAAATATTAGCAGTGGATTAAGGCTGCCACTTCAACTTTAAATTTTTTTTTTTTAATTTTGAGATAGAGTTTTGCTAAGTTGTACAGGTGGAATTCAGACTTGCAGTCCTCCTACCTACTTTTCTCAGTGCAGGATTATAGATTTGTTCTACCATACCTAGCTCTGTTTCACACACTCACATACACTGTCTGTCTCTCTCTCTTTTTTTTGTGGTACTGGGGATTGAACCTAAGGTCTTCACATGGTGCTATGTCCCCAGAACTTTAAAAAATTTTTATTTTGAAACAGGGTCTCACTAAGTCACTGGGCTTGTGCTTGAATTTAGAGATCCTCCTGCCTCACCCTCCCAGAGTGCTGGAATTACAGGTGTGTGCCATTACACCTGGCTTCATTTCAACTCTTATATGCTTTAATACCTTCAGATTGAATAGGCCCTGGGCTACTACTGATTTACATTAACAATTTCATTACACAGCAAGTGGAATCTAAATACTAATTCTGAGCTTTTTAAAACCTCAGAGTAATACATTATTTTACTGCATTAAGATAGCTTTGTGTGTGTGTGTGTGAGTGTGTGTGTGTATGTGTGAGAGAGCAAGAGAGAGAATTCTACATTCTGTTAATTCAGAATTCATTGTTGACGTGAAACTGTAATTTAGAGCATTGTACTTGCTTTAAATTTGTATCTAGTGAACTGCTGGGAATAAGAAGAGCTGGCAATTTCATGTGTGTTAAGTAGAATTTGTAACATTTATGTGAAATAATCTATTTATAGAAGCCAAATTCAAGAGTAGTGAAAAGTTGAGTTGACACTTGATCAGAATTCTCTAAGTAGGACACCTTTTATGCTTTTTTTTTTTTGAGTCATGGTCTTGCTATCTTCTAGGTTGGCTTCGACTTGCTATGTTGTCCAGGATGACCCTGAACTAGCAATCCTCCTGCATCAGCCTTCCAGAGTGCTAGGATTATGGTTCTGTGCTACCATGCCTGGGTTTTCTTTCAAAAAATTAATTATGATATATTTGTGTTTTGGAAATTGAAAAACAAAAAACAATACTTTCAGTACTTTTTGTTCTTGTTAAAACCTGTATGTAAAATTGTATAGCACTCACTACACTCTGATGTCTAGGCCATGAATGCATTTTTTTCCCAGAGTTCAAGAAGGGATATGCAGGGCCAGGGATTTAGCTCAGTGGTTCCGCCTCCTGCCCTGCAAGTGGAAAGACCCGAGTTCAATCCCCGGTACCAAAAAACAAAACAAAACGAAGGGATATGCAGGTCTGAATGTTGCTCAGTGGTAGAGTGCTTGCCTGGCATGCTTGAAGCCCTGGCTGCAATCACCAGTACCATAAAACAGACAGACCGACAGAAAAGAAGAAAGGAAGGAAAGAAAAGAAAATATATGCAGTTGCTTTGTTTTTTAACCTTTGTTTTCAGAACACAAGTACCGTGTATAGTTATAGATAGATCCTGCCCTTTTCCCCTTCAGGTCTTGCTGTTGTCCCTTTCTGAGCAGAAGGCAATAGAAGAGCTGCCACTCTGTCCTGGGTCATGGGTTAGAGTGACCGAAGTCATTGAAATCCTTTTGTGCATTCTGCTGCCTCCTTCAGTGACCTTCTGTCTTTCCAGGTCACTTACTTCAGCCTCTGGTACTACAACAAGCAAAATCAGCGTCGCTGGGTAGATTTAGAAAAACCTCTGAAGAAGCAGCTGGATAAATATGCGCTGGAACCTACCATCTATTTTGGAGTGGTGTTTTATGTGCCTTCAGTTTCACAGCTGCAGCAGGAGATTACCAGGTGAGAAAGTATACGCCTCCTGTTTTTGGAAAATAATCTAGTGAGATTAGGAATGTGAAACTAAGGTTAAAGGTAGAAGATAAAAGTCTGAAACTTTGCCCTCTCACCCCACATTTGTAGCCAGCCTATTACAAGGGGGTTCTGGTATGCGATATGTCATCAGAGTTTTACTGCTTGTCGGGTGAGTAATGGGCTCACTAGATGTAAAGGAATGATTAAAGGGCAAATGATGTTTTTACCCTGGCTGTAAACTCTGTGTAGTGGTGTTACCTTTTATTGTTTTGTTTCTGATGCTTTCTAACAAGTAAATGAGAGAAGAGATATAAAAAATGTAGTCTTAGAATCTGTGTTCACTCCTCAAGCAAATGTGGGGAAGGTTCTCACAGCTCTCAGACTCTAGAAGCTGTATCTATAGACAATGTGAGGAAGAATTGTGGGGGAGGAACTGCAAGAGGTAGAGGGAAGGTGTTTACAATCAGAAAATGTTGACCAGTAAGTACTCTTTGAAGGCCCAAAAGCAGAAAGAGAAGATGATATTAAGAAGGATGCTAGAGGGACTAAATGCTATTTTAACATTTTTTCCTCTTAAAGACAATTAAAATACAAAATAAAGTAATAAAACTTGAATTATTGGGGCCTAGAATGTAGCTAAGTAATAGAGTGCTTGCCTAGCATGCACAAAGCCTTGGGCTTGATCTCCAGCCCTTGAAAGAAAAAAAAAATTGAATTCTTGAGCTTACCCAGGTTCTCTGAATCCACCAGTACTTTATCTTTTTAAGCCTCTGTGACATTGCTCTGGAGCCAAGCTGGACTAGTTCCCATATGCTGAGCATACTGTGTTCCCTTCCATCTTTATGTCCTACGTCTTTCTCTTTTATTTATGTGTTGGAATCATCCTGTTCATCTTTTGAGTAGGCGCCTCCATGAAGTTCTGTGACTCCCAGGCTGGAATGAGCATTCTTAAAATTGCTGTACTTTTGTGAAGATAGCAGTTGTCACCACCCCTCATTGTGGTTTTTTTTGGTGTATATATCTTATCTCCTTCCTAGATTTTAAGTCCATGTTTGTCTTCAGCTTTCCATTTCTTTTGAAAGCTAGGCAGAACCTGGTACAGCCCCATGCTTGTGGAATGCTGTTTGAGCCTACAGTTAATTATTGGAACAGAATGGAAAACCAAAGAAGTTGCAAGGATCAAGTGTAGAGAAAAACAGATACTGACCATGAAACTGGTCTAAAATATAAATGTTGAAGAAATAAGTGAAAAGCAGGAGAAAAAACATGGACTGATCTCTTTCACTCATGTAAACATTTATTGAAGATATACTGTGAAGGTCTAAGAATCATGTTGGGTAGTGTGGGAGTTGAATACACAATTGTGTATTCTTTATTTGGACCCTGGAGGAGTTGCTTGTCTGGTGGAACTGGCAGTTTATGTAAATACATAATTACAGTATCCTATGTTAATAAATGCTTTAATTAAAGCTCTGGGTTCCTAGGGTTAGGGCACAGAGAACTTGAACAGAGAAGGCAAAGGAGTTGGCTTTTGATCTAATAAACTTCAGAAGGGATTTTTACTTAGAGGGAAGAACCCATGCGAAGCAGCAGGAAGAATCAAAGTCTCAGATGTTACCTGGAGAGGAGAGAAGGCTTAAAAAACAGGCTTGTGTTAGTCATAAAGTCATGGGACAATGAGGAAGACCTTTTCAAATTTTAATGAGATGGAATGATCAAATTTGCATTGTGCAAAGATCACCTATAATGAGAGATCAGTTAGATGTCCTAAGTCCTCTAAGTTACAATAGCGGGTGGCTGGAGACTAGTTAGGAATGTCTATGCTATAATTTAGGCATCAGTCTAGAAAGTAGTCCAGAACAAAGGCATTAGCCATAGGAATTGTTGAAAGAGAATGGTCCCAGTAGATTCACTCAGTAGGGTTGCTAACTGATTGGGTATAGGAGAACTTAATAGAGAAGTTCTATCACTAAGAATTAAGTGGGGCCGGGATTTAGCTCAGTAGTGCTGGGCCTGCCTCACAAGTGGAAGGTCCTGAGTTCGATCCCCCAGTGGGGGTGGGGGGGTGGAGGGGAATTAAGTATGAGCATAACTTTCTCTTTCTGGTCCACTGTTCTCAGCATGTTCTTCCATTCACGAGGTTACCGTATAGTCCAAGATATCTACAAAAGTTCTAGCCATCACCAGTACAGTGAGAGAGCAGAGCAGTAGTTTTTTTTTGGGGGGGGGGGATAGTGAGATATACAAAGAAACTCTAGCAAGTGGTTGGTATGCTCTTTGTCTTGTGGCAATAATTTCATGAATACATTTATATGTCAGAACTACATGTTAATTCTGTGCATTTTGTCACATGCTAATTATACATCAAAAAAGGTGTCACCATTCAGAGATACTTTAAGGAAGAAAAAGGGGAGAACAAATCTCTAAATACAGTCATACCTTGGTACTGTATTTGACTGCTTTGAAACTCATCAAACTTGATACTTTTACATGAAAGTTTTGTCCAGGTACTTGTTTGTTTGGCACTTGATACACAAGCTAGAAGTTTTCTGCGTTGATTGCCATGTGACTCATTCTCCTTTCCAGTCAGAACAATTTGTTGGGTACTTGTTGTTTTCAGTACTCATGGCATCTCTGGGAGCGAATTAACAGTGAATGCCAAGGTACCACTGTAACATATGCTCAAGAAATGAAGATTTGCCAGAAAAGTATGTCCACAAACAGTGGAAAATGGCCACCCAATATTATAAAATGAACTAAAGAAACTTAAGAAAATAACATGTATTTAAATCCAAATTAGATGAGCTTTGGAATGATCTGGTTATGAGGTAATAAGCAAGCAGGAAAATAAAGCTAACATAGGCAAGAAAAGAATTAGAGATAATTAAAAAATGATAGAAATAGTATAAATTTAGACGACAAGACCAAAAATTAAAAGAATATGTGCAATAAGATTCCCTAAAGGAGAAAGTCAAAACATCAATGCAAACAAATTTTTAGAACCATAGTAAAACTTCTTTGAAAGACTAATGACTTGAAGCTGTTACACTGAAAGGACAAACTGTGTTCCCAGAACTCAGCCTACAGTATTGAGGCCCAAGACATACATACCCTGCAAATTCATTGGAGATTGAGTATGTAGACACAAATTCTGTTACTCATGAATTAAAGATGGTATCAGACTTTTGAAAGAACACTTCGTGACAACAGATAAAAGAATAACATTTAACATACTCAAGGAAAGGAATTATGAGGCAATATATCTAGCAAAAATGACCTTTAAATATGTCTTAGCTCAGAATGCCATATTAAAATACCACAGACCGGTGATTTAACAGAAATGTATTTCCTCACAGTGTGGAGATCTCAGCATAGTTGGTGCTGGTGAGGGCTCCCTTCCAGGGTTGTAGACCTTCTCCTTGGGGCCCCACATGGCATTAGGAGTAAATTCTCTGGTTCCTGTAAAATAGCAGTTCCATCATGAAGTCCCCACCCTCACAGCATCAGCTAAACCTCCTAACTTCCTAATGGCCCCATCCTCAGGTATCCTCACGTGGTGGGTTAGTGCTTTAACACTCACGTTTGGTGGTGGTGGTGAGTACAGTTGAGTCCCCAGCAGAATGTAAAGGCCCAAACATTTGGGTACACACAGGAACTTGGAAACTATTGTTTTTGCATGCCCTAAGGGAACTATCATAAACCCATCTTTAGTCAGCTACTTAGTGACTAAACGTGCTTCAATAAGGCCTGGTGCCTGGGACCTAGAAACAGTGACAAGTAGGTATTAATGAACACCCTGGCACATGATTTTAGTCTTAATACCATTTTCCATAAGAGGAATTGGAATTCTGTGGGGGAGACAATGTTCCTGTCTGGGCTAGACCACTGATGTTGAAAGACCCAGGAACTTACTTGAAGAAATTTTTACTTGCAAAACAGGAAATTTTGAGCACATAAAGAATAATGAGATACATCAAGTATATTTTAAAAAATTCATCAGTTCATAATATGTAACTTCCTGAATTTTTATCCAAATGGGGAAGTGATACAGAGGAAATAATGCTGACTGACCTAAAGTACATGATTGCTGATAATAACAGCTATTGTTTGAGTACACTTTTGACAATTGTGCATGTGTAAGTACGGTCAGGGATATTGTTACTCTTCGAAACCATCCGGAGTTAAGATTTCATTTGACTGGTTTATGTTCTTCTAACAAATTATAGTGAAATGCTTTATCTTGATTGAAGATAATACTGACTTTATAAAAATCGACTTTTTTTTATAGGTATCAGTATTATCTGCAGCTGAAGAAAGATATCTTGGAAGGAAATATTCCTTGTACTTTAGAACAAGCAATTCAGCTAGCAGGCTTAGCTGTTCAAGGTAAATAATGCATATTAAGCAATTAAAGTAATAGTTAATAATGTAATAGTTCTATCAGATCAAAATGTTATAACAAAAAACAGTAATGGTTTATTAAAGTAACTGGCTTTCTATGTACATCTTTAGTGGTGTTCATATATTTATGAAAAAATATACTATTATTTAAGGGGCTTCCCTGTAGGAGAAATGAATTTGAAATACTTCGATTAAATATGAGACTTTTAGGGCCAGGGATTTAGCTCAGTGGTTCCATTGCCTGCCTTGAAAGTGCAAGGTCCCGAGTTCGATCTCTGGTACCAAAAAAAAAAAAAAGAGAGACTTTTGGAAGGTTAACTATGTTATATGTCTAAAGGTCTAATAGTGTAATGAATAGAAATACATATATTTAAAAAACATTTAATATACTATATATTAATCTAGCTCCAGGACTTGATATGCTATGAGCTAATATTTTAGGAAGAAATACCTGTCAGTGAGATTGAGGAGGTTATATTCACTTTAAGTACATTTCATTTGTTTGATTTCTTAAGTAATTTTCCTGGTTTATAGAGCATCATCAGTTATAATGAATTTGCATTTCCTGAGCTTTTTTGGGGAGGTGCTGGTGATGAAGCCCTGTCTTGTGCTTACTTGGCAAGTGCTGTACCACTGAGCGACATCCTCAGTCCTCACAAGCATTTTTCAACTGTTTAATTCTTTCATTTTTTATATGTTTAATATATACATATTTACATGTATGTATGTACTCTGGGGTGATTTCTTATACAACATCATTTCAAATGATAACTGGCACTTAATCTTGAGAACTGAAATTTAACCAAAAGAATCATTAATAAAATTCCTCCAGATATTAACAGGCATGGAGATGTGACATTTCTAAATAAATGTCTGATACATAATCCTTTTGAAGGTATTTTTAATTTTCTTAAGTATCATCTTTGATTTTAAGAATACTTTTTCATAAGCTTTTTCCTAAGCTCTTAACTTTTTAATTTATTTAATTTTTTTGCAACAGGGTCTCCTCATATAGGGTAGGCTGGCCTCAAACTCACCATTCTCTTACCTCAGCCACCCAAGTACCTCTTTGGTTTTTTAACAATTAAAAATTTCAGCCGGGGATTTAGCTCAGTGGTTCCATCGCCTACCTCGCAAGCAGAAGGTCCCAAGTTCGATCCCCGGTACCAAAAAAAAAAATTTCAACCCTCCCCTAAACAAATACAGTGGGCCCTAGAGTTATGTCCGGCCTGACATACAAACAGCTTGGCTTACAACTGGAATTTTAGTTTTAACTTACGTCCAAAGTCTTGAGTTATAAGCCGAATGCCAGCTGCTTGTGTGTCCAAATGATCTCAGAAACAGATTTAACACTTAAAGGGTTCTGGAAGGAACATTACAGCATCCTTTCCTGTGTGTGGTTAACTTAGAAATCCTGGGCCAGTGTCTCTCTAAGGACACTGAGATCTGCTTGTATACAGGAGAAAGTTGTGTAGAGGAGCCTGAGCCTTCATTTGACCAACTTGAGTTACAACCAGCTCTCGGGAATGAATTGAGTTCATGAGTAAAGGCCCACTGTACATCTTTCTGTAACAAATACAAATGATCGAATTCCATTCCCCAGCTTGGTTTCTTCCTGACATTTTTATGTGTATAACAAAGCATAGCCAGGTGTGGTGGGGCAAGCCTGTAATCCCAGCACTTGGGAGGCTGAGGCAGGAGAATTGCTGCAAGTTTGAGGCCAGCCTGGACTACACAGTGAGTTGAAGGCCAGCCTGGACTACGTAATAAGACCCTGTCTCAAAAAACCAAAACCAAACTGAAACAAAACAAAACCCCCCAAAACCAAACCCATACATACACCATTATAGGACAGGTTTGGTTGGTTTTTAATTATTAAGACCAGAGTGTATTATATATAGTTTGTAACTTTAAAATACTTGAGTCATAAGCATTTTTCCAAGATAAGATGCATGAACTTACCTAATTAACATTTTTAAAAGGTATTTTAAATACACATTCTATAGTTTTCAGGCAGAGTTGACTTCTGAGTCATAAGCACACCATCCTGTACTGCCTATTGAATTTTGTTATGCACATTCTGCTATGCAGATTAAACATAATCAACATGTGAATATATGTCATTTTCTATAGCTGATTTCGGTGACTTTGATCAGTATGAATCCCAGGACTTTCTTCAGAAATTTGCCTTATTTCCTGTGGTAAGTCTTCTTTTGGCATTGGACCGTGTTGTAAAAGGCCCTTAGAAATTCCTGCAGTGAAGTCCCCGTGGTGTCTACTCGCTAGGCTGCAATAGTGTGAAGAACTCAGTTCCCTCGTATAAACATCGCAGTGTCAGTTCTTGCCCGACTGTAGTCTTCTTGGTACTTGTGAACTTACAGAAACTGAAGTCTGCAGCCGCTGCTGTTTTCTTTTGAATGTGAGTCTAAGGAGGGGGATTTGTTTTCAGCTTCTAAGAATCACATAGAGGATTTGCTTTTAACAGAAGGCCTGGAACCTCACAAAGGTGATATTGAAATGAATTTGACTTCTTATCAGCAATCTAAAAAAGACATTGCCTTCTGCTTTTTAAAGTTGTCACTGATGGAGGTGACGAGAAAACTGTATGGCCCGCTCTTCTGAGCATCTACACCACCAGCCAGAGAATGCACAAGGTGTTTTCACGCTGGGTCAGAACTGGCTGGCAGCTGTCACCAACCTGAAATAACTCAGCTCAAATTTTCTCTGGGATGAGTTGAAAAGGGAGGGCAAGTTTCTTGGCTCCTGAACAGAAGCCACTTAATTCCTTAGATCACAATTACACAGATAAGCCAAGCTCCCAAATAGTAATACTGGTCATGATTTTTGCCTGAATGGAGAGTCAATAACAGCAGCAAGGATTCCTCCTAAGAAATGTACGCATGTACTTCTGTGTGTTTCCTTCAGGGGTGGCTGCAAGATGAAAAAGTGTTGGAAGAAGCAACACAAAAAGTGGTCTTACTACATCAGAAATACAGGTAACACCGTGAAATAAGACATGGCAATAAATAGTATGGAATTGGGCCGGGGATTTAGCTCAGTGGTTTTGCTGCTTGCTGTGCAAGTGCAAGGATCCGAGTTCGATCCCTGCTACCAAAAAAGAAAAGTATGGAATTATTCCTGTTTGAATTTGAAATCTGTATTGGCACATTACATTTAGAACTTTACTCAGCTGTACACGTAGCCGGCATTTCCCTAGCACTCACTATGTGCCGAGTGTGTTTAAGGGGACACTGGCCCACATTCATTCGTCAGTCATGTTTTACTATTGAGGAAATGAAAGAAATGAAGAACAGTCAGTTATTAAAGGATGCCAGATCATCACCTTATATATTAAGTAACAGTATGGGGAAGGCAACCTTAGGAAGATTGTTTCCTTTTACAGTGCAGCAAGTGCAATTATTCCCCCAGGGTACTTTTAGAAGCAGTATTTCTGTCATCTGGGAGGCTTGATAAGAGCTCTGGTGCTGCTTGCCCCGACTGAGCTTTTTCTGTCTGCTCTGTATACCTCTGGGCTGGTGGGTATGACTTTCTTTGATGGTGAATCTGTGTTGCCTATAAGAAAAACCCTCTCAGAGAATGCTACCTTAGTCTAAGCCAAGTATCATATACCATTACATTCTTATAACTACAGTATTCTTTAAGGTAAAGATGATCTCTACCTTAGAGATGCAGTCTAAGCTCAAAAAGACTTTAATCTTTATATGTGGCAGAGGTGGGATTTGAAACCAAGTCTTGTCTGATTATAACCATTTTTTTTGTGGTACTGGTGATTGAACCCATGGCCTTACTCAAATGCATCTCCAGCCCATATTCTCCATATTCTCTTCTGAATAAACCTTTTGCCACTGATTTCTCTCCACTCCAATCTATACAATCCTTTATAAAATATTAATCTTCTAAAATATCTCTTTCCTCTTATCCCTCCCCCACTCCTTCCTAAATGTTCATGGATATTTTCTTGCTCTCCATAAGTTGGTGAAATCTTGCCTTTCCATCTCTTTTCTGCTATCTAAGTCAGCCAATTTTTTTTCCCTCGCATAATCACACATTGTCCAGAAGCACACATTGTCCTGAGTTATGTCACTTTTTTTTTTTGGTACTGGGGATCAAACTCAGGATCTTGTGCTTTCGAGCTAAATCCCCAGCCCTCTATCACTTTTAACTCATTCACTTCTGCTTCTCTTCTAATTTTGTTTTTTGGTACTGGGGATCGAACCCAGGGCCTTAACACTAAGCCACTCCCCCAGCCCTTTAAAAATTTTTTATTTTGAGACAAGGTCTCGCTAAGTTTCCTAGGTTGGACTTGAACTTGTTTGTGATCCTCTTGCCTCAGCCTAAGTCTTCCAGAGTTCTGGGATTACAGGCATGCGCCATTGTGCCCAACGCTTCTGCACTCCTTGAAAAGATAGTACCTACAAACTCATTTGTATGAGGCAGAATGTTAGATTGGCTCAAAGATAAAAACAGTAATTTCCTGCCTGCCAAGAGTGCATCCCCAGGCTGGCAGTCACAGGGATGGGCAGGACAACCATGTGACAGTAATTATAGTGATATGATAAGATAATAGGTGCCTTGGGAGAGGTGTAGGCAGAATATATTATGGCTGCACCTGGTGGGGTGGGCACTGGGGAGTCCCAGAAGGTGACAGAGAGGGAGGGGTACATACACTGAGTTGCAAGGGATATTAGGGATTGCTCAGGTCCTCATGTGGGTGACAGGTATACGAGGAGGGAGTAACATGTGGAGAGGTCCAGAGGTGTGAGCAAGTGTGGTGTATTCAAAGAAATGCAGAGTGTGGAATGGCTGCCGTGTAGGGTGCCATGGTGCCTGAGGGAGCAGCAGAAGATGAGGCTGGAAAGGTGAGTCTCCATGCCAATGAGCAACCCTTCTTCCCCTACATTCCCTTCCTGCCAGTCTTTGTAGTGCCCCAGTCACCTGCGCTAAAAGAGATTTCCTGCTAGCCACCTCATGCGCTTGTTTCCTGCATTTATTATTTGACATGTAGCTAGCACATGATTCTCAGTAATGCCTGGTATTTTGGGTAATTAAGCAATTAGGGAAAAACTCCTAGCTTTCACTTGATATTTTAGGGACTGTTCCATCCTCACCTGCTTACAGTCTAAGGTGTAGGATGTTATAGATCTCACCTGTGTTCAGCTCAGTGTTTGGCTGGTAGTCAGTTTTTGCTAAATATTGAAGCACTGATGTAACCAATTACAGATGCTCAGATGCCTGAAATGTTTATCATGTCTTATGCCAGATTTATATGTAGTCTTTAAGGAAAGCTTAAAGACATTTTTATTCCTGTAAACAGTCTCACTAACATCTCTTGGGTTGCAGAGGGCTCACAGCTCCTGATGCTGAAATGCTGTACATGCAGGAGGTAGAAAGAATGGACGGTTATGGAGAAGAGAGCTACCCTGCAAAGGTAAGTGTGGCTTGAAGCTGAGGCTCTAAAATTAGGCGTAGGAGTTTGAGAGAATAGTGACGAAGCTTGAGGATGGCCCGATGTTCTAGCTGGAAACTTCAAAGCTGAGGTCCTTGTGACCAGAATTTTATAGTAAAGCACATTCTCATTTTGCAGTTTGTGCTTTGAAATGATCAGGAAATATAGTTCCAATTTGCATCCATATTTACGAGATAATATGGTCTTCTGAACATTTTATATTCAAATTTAGGGAAAACAAGTTTAAAGAATTGGGTGTAAAGTTGTTGCAGTTCTGATGCCTCTGCTTCATGATTCTTTCTCTGCTCTGTGCTCTTAGGATAGCCAAGGAAGCGACATATCCATTGGAGCGTGTCTCGAGGGTATCTTTGTGAAACACAAGAATGGAAGGCCTCCTGTGATATTTAGGTATTTTTCTTTCCATTTTATGTGTGCATTCTGTGGCTGCTATTGATGATATTAAAAAAATAACTGCTCATAAGTCTCTCCCAAGGTCTCAGTAGAAAATGGAAATATTCCCTTCCTAGACCAAAATGTCATCTGAAAGTAGTGAATGGTTCATTAATATGCCACTCTTCAGTACCAAAGTGCAGAAATTGGTGCTTCTAACAATGACCTACTTATAAAATGCTTAAAAATTTGTGACCCTTTTCCTGCCATATGGAGGCCATTCTTTGTTTTGATCTGAATTTTTCATTTGAGCTCTGGTTTCTAGGGTAGTTCTTGTGGAAAATTAAGACCTTTCTTTTGACTCTACTTATGTAACAAAATTCTTCAAATACCAACCTCTCAGCAAATTTCAATTACTTTTTGTAATGTTGATTTTCCCCTCTAGATTATAAAGAAGTGATACTACTATTCATTTGTGGAAATCTTGGAGTGTACATAATAGGAAAGACAGTACTGATATATAAAGATGTCTTAATGGTGGGTGTAATAGACTTAAATTTCTGAATGTTGAAGTTACAAATGGCTTACATTTCCTTTTTAGTATTCTGTGTTCCAGTTACTATCTGAAACAGAAATTGGATCATATTGTTCAGTTCTTCCATTGAAGTTCCTTAAAATTTGTAACTGTAGAAAATCCACAGTGTCATTTCATAGGAATATTTACAGTTTTACTCTGAGATTCTGTCTTCTCCTGATAAAAATATTAAAAATTTATATTTTTATAAAGTATTGAACATATCCTAACACTTTTGGTTTTTTATTCCTTTGTGTCTACCACTTATTGAAGGTAGTTTATCATGCATTAGATACTATACTGAGTGCTTTCTGTATATTTTTTCATGTGATCTTTCTAACAACTCTGAGCAGTGTGTGTTACCACCATTTTGCTTGTGGGATAATTGGGGTTTATAAAAACTGAATAATTAATGCACGGTCTCCCAGTTATTAACTGGGACTTGAACTCAGATTCTCTGCTTGCAGCCTGTGCTCTTAGTCTCCATATTAAGCAGCTCTCTCTTTTTTTATTCCTCTTATCTCTTACTCCTCCACTCTCTGCCACCCAACATACACTATTCAAGCTTTCTAACCCATCCCTATCATTTCTCCTTGAGTAGTTTTTCCTTTGAAAAACTTTCACTAACTGGGTATGGTGGTGCATGCCTGTAGTCCCAGCTACCAGGGAGACTGAGGCAGGAGGATCGCAAATTCAGGCCAGCTTGGGCTATGTTGTGAATGTGAGGCAAGCCTGGAACATAGCAAGGCCCTGTCTCAAAAAACCCAAACCCAGAAAGCTCTTTTCGCTAAAGTGGCAGCTCAGTGACTGACCACAGAGAGCAGACACAGCCCAAGGAGCAGCGCCCCATTCCTACACTGCCCCACACTGGGCCAGCCACTCCCCTTCGGCAGTTGTGCTCTTGTCTCCAAGCCAGGCATGAAGTTTTCCAAACATGCTGAACTGCAGGACAGGGAGATAAAATGGATCTGGGCTGCACCTGGAGGGTAGAGTGCTGACAGTGCTGCCAGGTTGTATGGAAACTCAAGACATCCAACCAGTTGCCTTTATCAGCAGACAGGATTGATTGATTCATTCATTCATCCATAGTAGTGGAGATTGAACCCAGAGCCTTCTTGCTGATCTTCATCCCCAGCCCTTTTTTTAATGTTTTATTTTGAGACAGGGTCGAGCTTAGTTGCTAAGTTGCCCAGGTTGGGCTTGAACTTGTGATCGCCTTGCTGCAGCCTCGCAGAGTGCTGGGATTGCAGGCGTGCACCACTGTGCCAGGCTGAACAGGAATTTTAAAAATTGCCTTATTTTTATTTATTTATTTTTTTGCTATCAGGGATCAAACTCGGGTCCTTGTGCTTGCAAGGCAGGCAATAGAACCACTGAGCTAAATCCCCGGCCCAAAATTGCCTTATTTAATAAGATGTGAATAATCTTCAGCTTTAACTATTAAACATTGAATCACTACTGAATTACTTTAAAAAATTTACATAAATAAATATAATACAAGGTGAACACTTCTAATCCAAAACTCTAAAATATGAAATTCAAAACTCTTGGACTCCAACATGATACTCATGAAGTTTTAGATTTTGGGGTCGGGTATGTAGCTCAGTGGTAGAGTGCTTGGCTAACATGTGTGGGGCCTTGGATGTGGTCTCCATCATCACATACACACGAAAAGTTTCAGAGTTTGGAACATTTCATGTTCTGGATTTTTAGATTAGGGCTGCTCAACTGGTAGTCTGGAAATACACCAAAATCCCAAAACTGAAATACTTTTAATCCAAAGTGATTCTGATGAGAGATACTCAACTTATACAATGAAGAAGTATAAAGTAGGTTAAGTTTTTTTCTTCCGGAACCATTTTCCCTTTTTATAAAGTCGCACAGCTATGTAATAAAGCAAGTGTTAATAAATGAAAGCTAAATATGATAAGACAGAATTAGAAAACATGACATAGGATTTTGTGTCCTAGTGAAACACCCAGAATGGTTCATTCCTTGGGTTCCTTCCCAGCACTTAACTCCATCTTTACCCTCCAGTTTTTCAGAGTGCTCTCCCCCTGCTTTTGTGCCTTCTTTCATCCTGTTTAACTACAACATCTAACAGTACTTGTTTGTTTATATCTTGTCTCTCAAGTACCACCATCCACAGTGCCCCTTTGAGGGGAAGGAGCTAGCCTAATGTTAGTGTCCTCAGGACCTATGCAATCTGCCATTGCTATGATGAGCGCCCTTTACAATGTTTGTTGAATGAACAGTTGTGGCATTGGGGATCTTTGAACATCAAGCTAACCTAGTAAATGAGGATAATATATTTTCCATCTTTCAAATGCTCTCTTCCTTCATTTACTGTACATGCATTTATTTTTGTAAGTAACTGATATTGCTTCAATTAGAAAATATACGCTAGGAGATTAAAATGACTGTTTTATTTCCAAATGATTAACAAATATTAACTTCTGCACCAAGCTTAAGGAAAAGTCATGTGTTGTGTCTCCTCACCTACATGTGAGCACTCACGTGGCCGTCCTCTGTTGTTTTTTAGGTGGCACGATATTGCTAACATGTCCCACAACAAGTCCTTTTTTGCATTAGAGCTGGCTAATAAAGAGGAGACCATCCAGTTTCAAACTGTGAGTAAAAAATGAGGAATCTGCAGGGAATGCTCTTCTTAAAAAAGCACTAAGTTAGCATTTCTCTGAGCCTTTGGAGGGGAAGAGTGGCATTACAATTCTAATGTTTCCTAATATTAATTAATTAATTAATTAATTTTATTTTTTTTTTTTTTGGTACCAGGGATTGAACCCTAATTTTATAAGACATTTTGAAGTTGTGAAATATGACATTTTGAAAAATGGCACTGGGTATAAAGTGGCTGCTCAGTGAATAGTGTTGAGTAACTAAATTTTTTGACAGGTGCTATCTCTCTTTTTTTTTTTAATTCAGTATTGAGGATTGAATCTAATGCTTTCACACGGAGCTATATCTCCATCCCTTCTTTTATTTTTTATTTGAGGACTAAGTAGGGGAGAAAACAAGCACCAGTATCTTAATTCCAATGGTAATGAATAGCTTTGCAGAAATATTATATAACAGTTATTTGCTTTTGCTCTCTTCACAAAGGCCATGTTGAGTCACTGAGTCAAATGTTTTGTTTAAAATCTTTGAGAATATTTGTCAGGAATAAAAGGGGATATTTTTATAAGTTTTAAATTTCCAGGGCACTTTTAAACTGTTTAATATCATACACTGTTGGAACAGATTTTTTTTAATCTTCATAATTGAAATCCTACTTGTAAGATTTATAGAACAGGCTCAGTGTTAGAAAACGAAAGAATCGCAGTACTTAGGAAATGACTTTAACATAACCTGTCATCCAATTATATCTTGACCTCAGACAAATTGTTTGGTAAAAGTACCAAGTCGTACCTTGTATGTGTGCTTTCATATTACTTTATGCATGTTTTGTTTGCCAGGAAGACATGGAAACAGCAAAGTATGTTTGGAGACTCTGTGTTGCACGACACAAATTTTACAGATTGAACCAGTGTAACCTGTGAGTATCTCCTGCTTGTGGAAATTGTAGGAAATAATGCATTTAAAAACTTATCTTAAGCTTTCTTGTATATCTACAAAGAAGTTTTATCAAATGCTAACTTCTCCTGAAACTTTTATAATAATCTCTGTTTCGTTATCTATTAAAGTGACGTCTGTTACCCAGGGCTGGTGTTGTACGTGTGTAATCCCACCACTGTAGGAGACTGAGGCAGGAGGGTCGAAAGCTTGAGCCCAGCCTGGGCAACTTAGTGAAACTCAATCTGAAAATAAAAAAAGAAAAAGCAAGGGCTGGGGATTTAACTCAGTGTAAAGGCTCTGGGTTCGATTCACAGCACGACCAAAAAAAAAAAAAAACCCATCTTTTTCTCCTTTGGCTTTAGAGCAAGTTCTGATGACTACAGTTATGCTTCTAAAATTTCTTTCAAGTACTTATTAGGACCATTCTAATTTTCAAAAGTTAAAGAAGAGGATAATAGTCTTTGTTTTTTAGTCAGTACCCTGGTCAGCATTTTGAGTAAGCGTTATTCAGCTTTTCAAGCTACGTGAAGAATTTAGGCCCCTTCTCCCTAACATACATTTTCAGTGACCCACATGCTTCCCACTATGCTGGGCCATCCTCAGGGCATGCAGACACGCTGTGATCTCCCACACATGATGCGTGGCTTCAGGTCTAGCATCAGCAGTGCGTCTCTGCTTTCGGAGCGGACTTCTGTGGGAGTGCTATGCACACTAGCATTCTTCCTGCACACCAAATTCCCAGGTGCACTGTAGACACTGCTTGGCTGGTCAGCTGACCTTCCGTCAGGGGCATTTGGGGAGCTCTGTCCTCCTCCACAGCACTGAGCCTCTAGCTGCTCCTTCCTCCCTGGGCTGCCGGAACCCTACTCCCTCCCGGATTCCTCCCTTTAGGCTCTGTTAGTGCTGAGACTGCCTGTCCATTTCTCCCCTTCTAGGGGTTTTCACCTGACCTCAGGGTAACATGCTAGCTGCTCAGCAGATTGTATCTCCAGCCCCACCTCTCCCTGAGCTCCAAAGTCCTGCATCCTGCTGCCTATCTGACTTGTCCCTTTGGGTACCTACTGGCGTCTCGCTTTGATATGCCTAAAACATCTCTTGTTCTCCTCCTTTACCTGCCCTAAGGCCACTTCTTCTCTGATGTTTCCTGTGTCCACAGAGGCAGCACACTACACTCACCCAGTTGCCCTGGCCCCAGACCTAGAGCATTTGATTCACCTTTTTCCTTCCTATCCAATTCATCAGCAAGCCCGGCTAGCTCCACCTTCAAAAGAGATCTGAAATTGGAGCATTTTTACCCCTCCATTAATGACTTTGTGTCATTTCTCATCTGAGACTGCAGCAGCTTTCTGACTCTTTGTTTCTGTGTCTTCCTGCATAGCTTTTTTTCTGTAAGTCAGCCAGAATGATTGTGGTTTAGTGTGAGTCAATTCTATTACTCTTCTTCTTAAACCCATCCCTTGGCATCCATCTAACTTACAAGTGTACAAGGTTGAACGTGATGTGGTCCTTGCCTGGTTCCGGCCTTGTTTCCTTTACCCTCATCTTTGCTCAATGCATTGCATCCACATTGTATTCTTGCTCTTGTGAGCTGGTTCCCCTCTCAGGATGGTGTGCTTGCTCCTTCCTGCATGGAGTATGTGTTTTCCTATGCCTTCTCATGCCTCGCTTCTTCATTGCCACCAATTGTCGGATCAGAGGTGCCCTCTTCAGAGGCTGACCACCCTCTGTCAATCTTCCTCCACTACCCTGTCTCTGTTTATCCTCTTCCTCCCATCTTATTCTTCATAGCACTTAGTACCACCTGAGTTTTCGTATTTGTTCATTTACTCGTGTGTTGTCCCCACCCCGACCTGCAGTAATTTCCACATCGATGCATGGGAGCAGATGCTCTCCTCACCTTAACTGCTTGATTCTCAGTACCACCCAAGAGTCTGGCTCACTCTAGTCCTCTATGACTCTGCTGAATGAATCTATAGAAACATAATTAGACCTCTGCTTTGGGATGTCAGTTATGCTGCAGGATCCTTTAGGAAGAAGATACCACACCCAGAATGCCAAAGTAGGAAAGGCTTCCAGCAACATGACACCTAAACTGAATGCTTCTGTAAGTTGTCCTCCCTCTCCTGGGCCCACCCAGTGCCTTCTGGTTGGCTGTCCTGCCCCTCACTGTCTCCACTCAGTCTTGCGGATGGATGGCCTAAAAACACAGCACTGCTCTTGGAGTTATAGGTCAGGACCGGCTGGGAGCCCGTTCCGCTCCCCCGTTCCTCCTGGCTACAGAATGAAGGGCGGGCTTCTGGGTCCCCCATCGCTGGCTTGCCTGCCTCGGCCCTGCTGAGCCTTGATTCTGGCTCCAGAACCCATTGTTCTCATTGTGTTAATGCCTCTCACAGCCCAGACTGTTGCAGTGGATGCACTTCCTCCCCGCAGGCTCTCAGTCATTCTTTAAGATCTAGTTTTGGTGCTGGACATGTAGCTCAGTGGTAAAGCCATCCTGGTCACCAACAAACATTTATAATTCATAAGAGCATTTTAGTAAATGCTTGCTGTGTGTCAAGCATCATGCTGAGAGCTTATGTCCTCTTTAGTCCTACAGTCACCCTGTTTGGTACATTATTATTGCTGTGTCTGGAAGTTTAATTGAAATGTGTTGCCTCTGCTGTGTGCCCAGTGAGTGGTGGCAGCAGAACTACAGCCTGTGCTCTGAGCACATTTCCCAGGCTGCTAGAGTACTGGTGCCTCCTTTCCCTGTGGATTGGATTGGATGGAGCTCCTCGAGGCAGGGCTTCCTTGCACTCATCCTCATCTCATCTGGCCAGGTGCTGCCCGGCAGGTGAGGGCTTCCTGAACAACGGAAGCCTGAGTGAGAGTGGTAGAAGTCATAGGGGAGAAGAGCTTCTTTACCCTTTGTCTGATTTCCTTTTACTACTGATTGTAAATTGGGAACAAGGGGAAGTCTTAAAAGAACATTTGTGTCCTTTTGTGCCAGGAAGGAAGGAGATAGGCTGTAGAAGGACTCGCTGTTGTATACTGTGTCAAAGAAACTGATCAGGAGTGACAGTTCAAAGAGACTAGGCAGGGACAGCCAGTGGGATGGGAGCCGCCCAGTGATTAGCATATACGTGCAGCCCTCCTCTCCTCGCTGCCCTCCCCACATTGTTAGCCGAGATGGGTTCTAGTAATTAGTAACTGACAGGGAAGGGGAGCCCTGCTTCTTTCTGGGTTCTGGGGAGCCTTTTCTGCTGGCTGTGGGTTGAGGAATTCTGGTACATTTGTATGTGAAAGTGCTCCCCCTGCTGGCTAGATTCAGTGGTGGCGCTAGTGCAGGATCCTGTATGCGTTTGAGGCTCTTTGGGCTGGCCTGTTTACCCAGCCTTGGGTGGCATTATTTATTATTTCTATTAAAGGAGTAAATATACAATCTGTGGGAACACTGCGTTTTCGTTTTAAAGACTTTCATAAATTTAAGAATGTTTATATTGAGCCGTCATTATTTCACTTCAGTCCTTTCTGGAAAATAGTGGAGAATCAGTTATTCTGAATAAACCATAAAACATAATCCCCTTCCAGTAAACATCCATATTGGTGGGTGATAAATGGCTTTGTTTGATTTGCAGTGCTGTGGGGTTTCACATGCTAGGCCAGCGCTTTACCACTGAGCTACATCTCCAACTCTAATTCCTTCTTTTTAAAATCAATTTTGGGCAAATCATCAACTAGTAATGACTTAAGATTGAGAGGGAAAAGCAACAAATGATTGTGGTAAATGGTCCAGTCGCAGATATGTGCTTCTTGGAATATTGCTTTTAATTGACAAGTGTGAATAAAACTAATATCATTAGTTGCATATATTATATCTAAGGAAGATTTGATTCTTTTGACAATGGAATAGTATGTATAAAAGGCTATTTTCCAAATTTTGCTTTATATATCTAGATCATGGAAGCCCATTTCTATGAACTACTCCTGTGTAATTATTTACAATTCATTCTGTGGGAAATATATGTGTATTTGTTTTTCATATAAAGTAAATTAAAATTTTAATATTAGTTTTTAATGTTTTGATGGGTAACAAAACAAAAAATAACTTTGAATTTTATGGCTATTTAAGACTCTCAACAAGGACTATTAAGTCACATTTAATATTATAATAATTCTAGCCAGGAATGGTGGTACACACCTTAGTGTGTCTCAGCACCTGGGAGGCTGAGGCCGGAGGATCCCTGTGAGTTTGAGGCTAGCCTAAGCTACATAGTGAGTTCAAGGACATCCTGAACTACATAGTGAGATCCTGTCTTTAAAAAACAAACAAAAAAGATGATAATAATTCTGAAGTATTGGTAGACTTGTTATCATGGCTCAGGTGGGTAAACTCACGTGAGATGGGCAGTTAACCAGCCTGCAGCTGACCTGGGGCTGGACAGTGGGTTGTGGACACCTGGTTCAGATATGGAGTCTCCTTGCATAGAAAGGTGGACTTCACTCCTACCAGAGTCCCCTCACTCCAGCCCTAATTCATAATATAATGGTGTTACGGATGGTGTGAGGTGACTCACCTAATCCTGAGGAAACTATAGTTCAGTATTCACAATTTTAACATTTATCCAATGGCCCAATCAACAGTCTTTCCCAGCCCCACCTGTAAACAAGGTACTTTACATAACAGAATCATCTTTTATGTCACTCAAGCCTTAAGAACATCAGATAAGAGTCTCCCCTTGATTATTTTTTTTTAAATTTATAAAAGTGGGACAATGGCACTATTTATAATATTCCTTTAGGGTTAGATTAAGAATTAAATAAGATGATATTGTCAGTCAGGTCAGAAAGCTTCTTCTAACTCCCTCTGCCCCACACCAAACCCCAGAACTGGGCAAACTATAATCAGCCTCCTTAATTTATATGAGAAAATGACTGGGAAGGAAAGGCTTTTGGTGTAGAGCTTTTCTTGCTTCTCTCTGTGGACTGTATCCTCCAGCCTGCAAGGCCAAGCCCAAGAGACTTTCTGTGGAGACTTGGATTTCAGGCAGCAGCATGCAGTGAGGGGCTGGCAGGCGTCCCCGGCAGTGTGGGGCTATTGGTGAACGTGGCAGCCAGGGCCCATCTCTTCTGGGGACTTTGTGATCAGGAGACTGACTGGCATAGGTCCTGCCTGGAAGGGGAGAAGGGTTTCCCCATCTTCTTCTCAGCCTATTGGGTGGGAGGCCTGGAAGATGATGGAGCAACACTCTCCCCTTCCAGTCCTCTGGGACCCCAGAGGTGTGGCGAGGACACAGCGCTTCCCGAAGATCCATGGGAAGGGGCCCTGTGGTAAGAGGTGGAGGAGACTGAGGAGCAGCCCCAGGGCTAGACAGTGGGATATCTCCCTTTCAAACAGGGCTTGGGGAGAGCTGGTACTGGACATGAGGGAACTTCTGTCTCAGTAATAATAGACATTAAAACTAAGGCAAAGAGCACAAACTTACAGGCAAAAACTCTGATTGAAAAGGAAGAAAAACTGGGGAAAGACTCCAGCTTGAGGAGAAGAGGTGAAGGGGCACAGCTCTGAGGGAGACATGATCAGAGGGCAGGGGCTAGCTTTGAATCAGCTTGCTGAGGTGGGCTCAGGTCTGCTATGTGGCCTGCAGAAGTCCTTAATCCTTCTGGTTCCCATAGGATGATTCTCCTGCCTAGTGGGGCACCCTCAGTTCCCACATGGGGTAATTATCCCTGCTTAGGGAGGTGATCTCATCATAGGGTGATCTACATGCAGATGCTCTGCTGGAATCCAGGGTGACTGCAGGTTTAGGACAATGACTGGAGACTTCTAGGTGCTGCTCCAGGAAATCCAAAACAGGATGTAGTAAAAGCTGGCGATTGAATGTCCCTGCCAAATCTTGAATATGCTTTATTACTCTTATCTGGGTATCCTCAGTCTCGAAGGGGGATGAGATAGGTTAGGTAAATGTAGGCTCACAAACCATTGTTTAGACAGACACTCGGTGATTGACATGATTACTTACAGAGCTAAGCAGGAATCTGACCCACAGTTTAAAGTAGTAAAGGGGACAGATACAAAATAAAGGCAGAAATACCAACCTTTATCCTTTTAGTTACCCATTGGTATGCGCAGGTCCAAGTGAAGAGTCAGTGCTTTTCAGCAAAAGTTGCAGCTTTTAAGTCCCTGTCTCACAGGAAGGCAGCTGCTCTTTCTGAGCTGCTCCCTATTTCCATGAAAGTAACTATCACCCTTGAAAAGCCTACATGTCATGGAGCTAGGATGAAGCTACTCCCTCCCCTCATTAGCGGTCCAGTTACCTGAGATGATCTCTGCCAGCTTTGCCCCTCTCCTCTCCACAAAACCAGGGATCTGTACCTGAGGTACGGGAGGAAAATGGGAGCAGGGATCTCAGAGCCAGACTGGTGCTCTTGAAGCAGCCCTGGCCCACCCTGGAGTGGGGAGGAAGAGCTTTTGTTTTTCAGGAAAATCACTGAGACAAACATTGAAGATATTTCTGCCATCCAACACGTTTTCTGACCATTAAAATCCCCTTTATTAGCTAAAACAAACACATGACTGAAAGGAAGCTTACAAAGCAAAGTCAGACATTCCTGGAAACATGAGCTCAACAGTAAGTGCTCAGTACAGAACATCCACTTCCGTTCCCGCTCACTCGTCATTCGTTTGTTCAGTTTCCTTTTGAGCCAAGCAGCGTGCTGGGCACAGTGATGCCATGGTATGTCTTCTTTCAGATTAGCTGGAATAAGGAGGTGGCCAGCCAAATGGTAGTCAGAGTCCATGCCCAGAAATCTGACAGACCTGCTTGTTTAAATGCTGGTTCTGCCACTTGTTTGCCATGTGGCCAGGGGCAACTTACTTCAACTACGTTTCAATTTCCACACCTATGACATCATCATAATAACTGGGTCTTCCTTATGGGGTTGGTGCTCAGATTTCATGAGATAATCAGCAGTCTTCAGTACCGTTTCAGTAGGCAATATCATTTATGTTACTTGGACTGGAAGCCCTTTTTTATTGTCTTCTCCAGTACCTATGCCTCAGTGACTTCTAAGAGCTCCTTTCAGCTGCCTCATTTTGGCAGCACCCATCAGTATAGAAACCATGACAAAAGTTTCAAAAGAACAACCAACAGCCACATTGTTTTCTCTGCTGTGTGAGGTTGTGGAGGTTGCTCTCAGCTTACACTGCACGTGTAGCAGTGCCAGGAAGAAAGAGGGGGTCAGACTGTTAGAACTGAAGGTGAGACTGCCCAGGACGAACAGTCTGGCAGGTAGAAGACCTACAGGTTTGTCTTGTGTTCAGCAAAACCAGCTTCTGCAGTGGGCAAGATGCCTGAATAGATAACATGGTAGGAGTTGCTGCCCGAGCTCCTGAGCTCTGCATCCTTGGATTTTGTGCTGAACACACTCAGGTAACTGTGGACATGCCGGAGTCTGTTGACAGTGAAATCTGTCAGCAATTCCTTCTTCTCATTTTTGAACTTATGGTATTTTATACAAGTTCAGTCCATCTATGTAGTAGTCTCTAATAGAGTACATAAAGTTCAAGGGACCCCATTTACTGAAACCTAGCTGCAATCACGGAGGATAATGAGAGGCAAAGTAAATTTTACAGCAACAAATTGCAGCATCTTGTGTGCAGTTACAGCACAGGCATAGTCCTGCTAACATGAATACCAGAGGGAGGAAGCATCTTTCATAAAATAGACATCTGTGTTTCATAAACAGTCTGAACACTTTCCATTGACAAATTATTAAAAGAAGTCAATAAAAGCAGTTTATTCACCTGGTGTGTCTCATAACCACTAGTCTTCTTTTTGTCTCAAAAGTCTTGTACAATTAAGTTAATATTTAGAGTGAGTATAGATAGCCGTTATCAGAGTGCTAAGAATAATATCTATCTATTTTTGTGGTACTAGGTATTGAACCCAGGGCTTCTGGGTTCAGCTATATCCCTAGCTGTTTTTATTTTTTAATTTCAAGACAAGGTCTTACTAGTTAGTCACTAAGTTGCCCAGACGGGGCCTGAACTTGAGATCCTCCTGCCTTAGCTTCCCAGAGTGCTGGGATTACAGACATGTGCCACTGTGCCCAGATGAATAATGTTAATTTAGAAGACAAGAGTCTTTATATTATTAGTTAACTTGTTGATTAAATGGATTAAATGTTCACTTTGTAATAGTGGATTTTCTAGTACTTAGTCCTTAGAACTCTAGTCAAAGGTTGATGTGTCATATAATTAATTATGTGTCATATAAGTTCATGAGCCAGGAACAGATAGTAAAAAAGTTTTTAAAAAGTTCTTTGACAAAATTACATAAGTAAGTCATCCAGAAAACCAAGAATTCAGTGTCTCTAGGTTCCAAACCTTATTTGCAATAAAACTGACACACACAAGAGAAAAAAGAAAAACGCTGCCTCTATTTAAAAACAATGGAGTTATAAATGGGCTTTTCTGATTTTGTTCCTTTTTAAAAAAACCCATTTATTCAAAGATGGAACTTGCGTGAATAGTTTAAAATCCCAAATTATCAGGTAATATCAGTCAGTGCTCTTACTAGTCTTAGCTGCTTTAAAAACTCCAGAGAGGAGTTTCTTGCAAAAAAAAAAAAAAAAAGGTAAATGGGTTTGTCACAGGCCTATTGAACCAAATTCTGTACTTTTTGCTTTCCCTAATTCAGTTCCTCAGAGAAATACGAGCCCTATCACTAAAATCATCTAATTTTTTATTTTTTATTTTTTTGGTACCGGCTATTGAACTCAGGACCTTGCGCTTGCAAGGCAGGTGCGGCACCACTGAGCTAAATAAATCCCTGGCCCTACCAAAATTATACTTATCTTTTCCTTATGTTTGGGGTCTGTGGTGAATTAAGCCGCTCCCCTTTGCTTTAGGCTTCTGGGCTGCCAGCTGATGCTTACCCCTGTCAGGACAGTCAGTGGTCAGTGCTAGCCCAACCCACAGAGAGGCACTGGCTGAGTTTGTTGGCAGCCCCCCCCCCCCCCCCTGCCATGGCCCAGCCACAAGACTTGCCTTACTGAGATGTTGGGGGGGGGGAGGTGCTACAGCGCCCCCATAGGATGACAGCAAATTACTTTTCTTTTCTCTCATTTGTGACTGGCTCAGTTTGTCTTTTCACCTTAGAAGACTTCTCATCCTACCTTCCTATATCGTAGTTTGTGCTGACAGAATTAGGAAGTGTGTGTGCTCTTCTCAAAACGGTCTTATTTTACAGGCAAACTCAGACTGTCACAGTGAACCCAATCAGGAGGAGGTCATCCTCGAGGATGTCTCTGGTAAGAAGAAAAATCGGATCACTTTTCTTGTCTTTTAGCAGTGTCATTTGCCATAATCCAGCATGCTTTGGGTAGTGTTAATTTTGAGTTTGAGCCACAAAACTGTGTTCATACTTCATTTTTATCCAAAGAAAAGATGATTTTTCATAAGTTCAACCTAATATTTATTATATTATACATATTCAAATATTAGGTCCAATCAAATGTTATGGATTTGAAGTATTAGCCAAGAGTAAGCATTAGTTGGTAGATGTTTAAGTTACTTGATAACTGTCTGATGGGATTAAATATACTACATATAAGCTTCTTATATTCATGTCTTTATACAAGGACATTGATAGCAGTTCCTTCTTGCTCTTACCTTTTGGATGCATATCTTCTTGTGCTGTTTAATATCCTTAGTATCACTGCACAGGGTTTAGCATTGCCATTGTAGGGAGCGTTGAAAACGGTATATATGGTAAGACCTACTGTGTTTTCATGTTTATTTTCCATATATAATATATTTAACTCCTTTAGAAGCCTCTTTTTTTAATGGAGGGAAAGAATCCAGAAAAGAATTACTTTACCTCTATTACATAGGCAATGTGTTTTAACCCTGTGTCCAACTTTCCATTTCTTAGCCTAAACCCCAGCCCTATGTGATGCCTCCCCCACCCCAGCTGCATTATAATGGACACTATACAGAGCCATATGCTTCTTCCCAAGGTAAAGTACACTAACTCTGCAAAGCCTTGCACAGTTATTATATGAATAAGTCTATGAAGATATCCTCAAGCCTGGATAGCTTCTGCCTGAAATTATACCCCAAATTGTCATGATTATAATCACCCTGGAGTCATAGAATAAGCCAGTACATTCAGGTTCTTGAATATATGATAAAAATTTGTAATTTCAAATTTTGGTGCACAGGTGATCCCAAATTTGGCCAATGGGAGCTTTAGGGTGATTTACATACTTTTAATATCCCCACCCCCCTTGGCCTTTGAAAGTTCTTTATTGTTTTCAGAAAAAAGATGCCACAGTCTCACTCTGTTTTTCCCTGCCTGAGATCTTCCCATTGTAAAATTTTAAACACTTGCTTACTGCAGTTTTCATGAGTTAAGTATATGGAACTGTATGACAGTGCCGCAAAGCTGAATCTTGAGCATTCCTTTAACTTTTACTTGATAACCTGTGTATAAAGCTGTCCTCAAGGACAAAGATATGAAGCAGATGAGTGGTTCCATGTCTTAAGAAGTTCAGAATCTAATTTTGGGATAAGACCAATCCACACACAACTTGGAATCAAAGAAAATGTGATTCTTTTGTTGAGAAAGCACATGCAATTACTGTGCCATTTGATGGGAGACAGACGCGTCATCTTGCGGGGCTGAGAAGAACTTTCTGGACTTTGCCAGGTGGCTGGATTTCAGCAGTGAGAGGGGCAGGTCCTGACTGGGGTGGCCGCTCTGATTTGGGGGGACAGTGAATTCCGTGGCACAGAGTGAGGAAGAGATCTTTGGAGAGGAGAGTGGTCCAGTTGCCCTTGCCCATAGGGGATGGGTAGGGAATGAAGTCTGAAGGGACAGAAAGCAGATTGTGATTGCCTTGTTTGTGCTGTGCCAGGCGGTAGGCAGTGGGGGAGCAGAGCCTAGGGTTTGGATTCTGGCACCCACCTCGGGTGGTTTTGTGTTTTTTCAATGTGTTCCTCCAGGCACCGACCCTGACTGTACCTGCACTCCTGCCCCTCCCACGCCAGGACAAGGCTTCTCTGTCTTGTTGGTCTCCTGTCTGCCCCTTTTCCTACCTCGGTCTGTGAACACCTTGCTATCTTTTGCGCTCCACCGTCTTCAAACAATTGTCTGGGGTTAATTTTTCTCCTTGTGTGCACCCTCTCCTTCTACAGGGATCTGTGCGTTTGTTTCTGCTTGTGGTTTCCCCTTGCCCCTTCTGCCTTTGCTACTCTGTAAAAGCCGCTCTCCGAGGTTCCTGGCATCTGTACGCAGGACCTTTTCACCATCACAGTCATCACTCCTTTTCCCACCAATTTTTTTTTTATTATTTGATTTCATTTTGGCAGATTTGTTCATGCATATAACACATTTTGATCATTTTCACCCCTACTCTCATCCTCCTTCAAGTATCATTCTTCTAGGTGAGCTGGGTTCTCCCTCCGCCTTCCTGTCAGAGTTGTTCGGTGTTCCCTGAAGGCCTGTCTGTGGCCGTCTTCCCTCCCTTTGGGAGCTACCTCAGCAGTTTCACCACACTTCAGCTTTGCGTGAGGATGACTGACCGATCTTCATCTTCCACTGCCCCCCCAGCCTGGGGCCCAGCCCCACATTCCCTGCTGTCTGACAGACTGTCGTGACAGCTATGAGGGCTGCTGCATGCAAAGCCCTTGGTGAAGTGCCTGGCTTATGGTGAGCACTCAGGAAATGATGTCAGCTATTCTGACTTGCTGAAAATTGAAATAATTACATTTGAACTAATTTCTCTACTCGTTAGTCCATTCCTTTCTTGTGTTCCATACTTCATGTTTTTTGGTACCAGGGATCAAACTTGGGTCCTTGTGCTTGCGAGGTAGGCGGCAGAACCACTGAGCTAAATCCCCAGCCCCCAAACTTCATTTTTGTTAGGAAGTCACTTTCCTGGTTACTTGGTTCTTGGTTGGTTTGTTTTTTTATTTTATTTTATTTTTTTCCAGTACCCAGAATTGAACTCAGGACCTTATGCTTTCGAGGCAGACGCGGTGCCACTGAGCTAGCTTCCTGTCCCAGTTGGTTTGTGTTTTGAGATGAGGTCTTGCTGTGTTGCCCAGGCTGGTCTCAGACTCCTGGGCTCAAGCCATTCTCCTTCCTCAGCCTCCCAAGTGCTAGGACTACAGATGTGCACACCACATCTGGCCCTGGTCAGTTGGATTCTGAGCTGCATGTAATTTTGCTTCTCTTTTTTTTTTTTTTTTTGCCTTGGACATTTAGTCATTTATAAATACTACTGCCTTCATATAGTATCTCTGCCATGTCCCCTGCTCCTGATCCAATCCAGCCTTTTTTCTTTTTCTTACCTCTCACTAGATATAGCATCATATGAGTTGGTATCTTCAATCTCTACTTTGCTGCTTCATCTAATATACAACTGTGTTGTGCAAGATCATTCATTTGCTTAGTGTTCACGACTGCATATTTTCATAGCCTACTCTTCTAATCTAGTTTCCCATTGTTGGTTTGCTCCTTTCCAGCCTGCCCTTTAGGGATGGTCTCTGGCTTTGCCCATGCTTCCTCATTACCCAGAGCCTTAGAACATCCTTATCCCACACATCCTTCATCTGGGTGTTGCCATCCATCCAGCATAGGGTAGGTTATGCTGTGTTAAGAAGCCTTTCCAAACTCTCAGGGGAGTTTCTTCTTGCTCAGGCTGCCTGTCTCTTGTGCCCTAGCAGGAGGGCTCTGCTCCAGGAGAGCTTGGCTTGGTGGCTCAGGCCTGGGGAGACTCTTCCAACTGGAATGCTGTTGGTCATGGTGGCAGGAGGAAGAGACCAAAGAAACTGGCTCTGATCCTCTGCTCGTTTCCCTTTGACTACAACTAATCACATATGGTAGGCTGTGCCCACCATGAACGGATGAGGAGGCATAACCAGTGTACTCTCAGAGGCGGAGTGATTTGCGTGCTGATGGATGCTGGGCATGCCTACTTCTCCCATCACACAAGGCCTCTTGAGTGCTATAGCTTCTATGAGGTTGTTTTTGATCATTTCTTTCTTCTCTGTACTGATTAACTTAGTCTCAGCTGGACGTGAGTCTTCCTTGTCTCTTCTCCTTTCTTAAATTATGGTGATTGCCAGCCTACTTGCCTGTATTCCAGTTATGTTTTCCTCCTTCTGCTTTTAGTATAGTCTTTCACACATATAACAGGCTCTCAAATGATTGGATGATTTGAGGCATACAGAGAGCAGCCTGGTGGTAGAAACACCAGGTAGGCAGGTGTCATACCAGTCCGGACAAGCAGGAGTGAGGATCTGAGCTATGATGTAGGCAGTTAGAAGAGAGGGACTCCAGAGATTTAGCAACAGCAGAGTGTTCCATGGATGAGGAAAGCACATGTGTCAGAAGTAAGAAGAGTAGGCATTCTTCAGAGCTGTGTGTGCACCAGAGTCCAATGTGCCCCCTGGACAGTGGTGTATCATTTCAATAATCAGTTGTCACTTAAACATTGTGGGGCTTTCAAAGCACCCAAAGAATGCTTATCAAAGGAAACTGTTCTCCAAAGCACTTGTCTGTTGAGTTATCTTTGAAATTTAGGAAGTCACACTCATTAGTAAAGAGATTCAGGTGAGCTACAACAGATCAGCTGGGAGAAACATGGCCCCTTCCAGCTTGGGACAGGAACACACATACACCATTGCAAAATTAATCTCTGATTCTGTGAGCCCTGGACCCAAGCCTTACTGAAATGTGGGGCCAGGGCAGACAGTGGCTACAGCTGTCTTAGCTTGGCTCTTCTGGGCCTCTGGGCCCCTAGTGGCTGGCCTCTTCTTGTAGCCACCAGTGACTCTTTGGACTGGAGAACCTCATACCCTACTACACTGTTTTCCTTTCATATGGAAGTTTTGCCTTCATTCTGGAAGAATTTATACAGTACAGGCAATCTAAAACCCCAGTGAAGGAAATGTTTATAGATACCTTGAACTAGCTCAGAATCAGCAGGCCACATCGCTGTACAGGGAGAAACAGCAGTCACTGGTTCTGGATCTTGAGCAACATCTCTGCCTTCAGTTCTGCAGAGATCCCAAAAGTCAGTTTTGTGTCTCTGATGAAGTAGATTTTGGGGGGGGGGGTGTACCGGGGATCGAACTCAGGACGTTGAGCTTTTGAGGCAGGCATGGGGCCACTGAGCTAAATCCCCCGCCCTTGAAGTAGATGTTTTTAACTTTCTGAAAAAGACACTGTTTTGTCACACAGTTACACTCCACATTGGGTTTAGATGAGACCAAGCTTTATCAGGTACCAGATCCTGAACCCCGACCTTAACAGCCGGCAGAGCCAAGCTCAGGTAGCATGAGTACAGGTGGTTTATTTAGCAAGAATGTTTACAGGCTGTGTTGAAAATCTCATCCAAATTCAGGGCCTTTCTCAGTATTTGCCTCGAGTAAACGGCCCGATTTAATTCATTTTAAAAATCTCATTTTAAAGTACATTTACAAACTTTTTCTCCCCCCAGATAACATCTTTGTGCCCAACCACAACGGATATTATTGTCACTCCCAGACGAGCTTGGACAGAGCCCAGGTGGACGTCAATGGTAGAATCCGGAACGGCAGCGTCTACAGCGCGCACAGCACCAACTCCTTGAACAACCCTCAGCCCTACCTGCAGCCCTCCCCGATGTCCTCCAACCCCAGCATTACCGGAAGTGACGTCACGAGACCCGACTACATACCCTCGCACCGCCACAGCGCCCTGATACCTCCTTCTTACCGCCCGACCCCAGACTACGAGACTGTGATGAAGCAGCTCAACAGGGGCATGGTGCACGCTGAGAGGCAGAGCCATTCCCTGAGAAACCTCAACATTGGCAACTCCTATGCATACAGCAGGCCTGACGCCCTGGTCTACAGCCAGCCTGAGATCCGAGAGCACGCACACTTCGCCTCCCCGCAGTCGGCCCACTACGCGTTCAATCTGAACTACAGTTTCCACAGCCAGTCGCCCTACCCCTACCCTGCCGAGAGGCGGCCGGTGGTGGGCGCGGTCAGCGTGCCCGAGCTGACCAACGTGCAGCTCCAGGCCCAGGATTACCCGGCTCCCAACATCATGCGGACCCAGGTGTACCGCCCACCGCCGCCATACCCCTACCCCAGGCCGGCCAACAGCACCCCCGACCTGTCCCGTCACCTGTACATCAGCAGCAGCAACCCTGACCTCATCACGCGGCGCGTGCACCACTCGGTGCAGACCTTCCAGGAGGACAGCCTGCCGGTGGCGCACTCGCTGCAGGAGGTCAGCGAGCCCCTCACTGTGGTGCGCCACGCCCAGCTGCAGAAGCGCAACAGCATCGAGCTGGCGGGGCTGGCACACGGCCTGGAGGGGCTGCGGCTCAAGGAGCGCACGCTGTCAGCGTCGGCGGCGGACGCGGCCCCGACCTCGGCCCCGCGCATGCTCCTGGCCGGCTCCCAGCCCAGCGTCTGCAGCGACAGAGCCAAGGAGGATGAGGCCGAGGAGCCAGACGGCGGGAGGTATGGCCACAAGAAGTCTCTTTCGGACGCCACCATGCTGATCCACAGCAGCGAGGAGGAGGAGGAGGAGTTCGAAGAGGACCCCAAAGCACCAGCCGCGCTCTCCGCCCGGCCCGAGCCCCGGCCGCTGGCCGCCTACGCCCCGGAGCTGCCGCGGAGCCACCCCTGTGCCATGGCACAGGTCCCCGGCCCTCTGCATATTCTCGAGCCCAAGGCCCATATCCCAGAGGCCAAGAAGAGGGCGAGGGACTTGAGCCCTGTCCACATGATTGTGGAAGCACCGTGCCCCCGAAGAGAAGGCCTGCTGACGCCCTCCATGTCCGAGTCCGACCTCACCATGTCGGGGCGATACCGGGCCAGGAGGGACTCCCTGAAGAAAAGGCCGGTGTCAGATCTGCTCTCGGCGAAGAAGAACATCGTGGAAGGACTCCCGCCACTGGGGGTAAGGGTCCGCGGAGCAAGGTCCCTTCAGGGCCCGGACCAGTGTGCCTTTAATCTGTCCCTCCCTCCTCTCCCTCCTTTTGCCTTTGACTCGTCACTTCTGATGTTTCTCAGCTTTTTTTAAAATCTGTTTAACATTTTTCATCCTGCATGTTGCCTTATTTTTATCCTATTTTGTGAACACATTTAAGTTTCTATATGGAAATTATAGGGAATTGATGAAAATGTCAGTAGTTTTACTAGAGAGAGAATAAATTGGACCCAAAGGTTCTGTGGGATGGAATGGGAAGACTGAAGTGTTGTAGTAATGCAGCATTAGGAAAAAGAAGATTTTATGACCTCAGCCAAGATGGCTGCACTGACCACCCATTAAAAAGATGCAGCGTGCAGGGCTGGGTTTGTTCAGTTTGCTCAGGTGGCAGAGTGTGTGTGTAGCATCCAAGGCTGCCTTCCTAACTGTGTGGATGACTTTTAAGGCCAGAGCCTATGGATGTAGCTTGAACATCTTGGCTATGACCTCTGAGGACTGGAGAATGATTTTGGGTTGAGAAAGTGGTACTTTATGAAGGCAAAGATCTCAGAGCTCCAGGTCCCTTTAGAAGGTCCCTTTAGAAGAAAGAGTAAATGAACTCAAGAGTTCAAGGAAAGTCCCTTGTAGAAATAGCAGCTCTTTATTATTCGGTATAATAAATAAAAATGAAGTATTTCTTATGTATTTGAAGCAAAATGTGAAAGAGCCTGATAACATCATGTCTAGCTGCTATTTACTTTGCTGTGTCCAGTTTACAAGAAGCCTATTGCTATGCACATTTTGCAAATAAAGAAATAGACTCTGAGATATTAAGTAACTTTTCCAAGGTCACACAGATAGAGTGCCTGACCAGGCTTGACCTTTTCTACACTGTTCTGTGTGAAGGTACTATATACTGTATATAATATTTTACTAAGTCACAGTTGCTTGTTGAAGGCTTGCTGTTCTGTCTGTCCACTGATACTCATTGAGTTCTGGACCTTTGGCTAAGAATTTGTGGCCTTGTCATGAAGCGTGTCCACTCCCACTCATCTTACTGCATTGCTCCAGCGTCCAACTCCTTATGGCCCACACCTTGTCTCCCATGCCCCGCAAATGCCAAGCCGGGGTCCTGGCCACTCGGACTCTCCTCCCCTGTCCTGCTAGACAGAATGATGGCGCGTTTCACATGTGCTTCTGGGCTAGTTAGGAGATCCTCAGAGATGCTGCATCATCTTGATAGGCAAGAAAAAACTCACACGGTATTAAAACATCTTGACAAAGAGCATTGTACATGGACAAAAACCATCTACGAAAGTGCCATGGATTTCTTTTTTCAGTTCTTAGTTTTTTATTAGTACATGGTTGCTGTACATAATGCCTCCATTCATTGTGGGAAGTTGGTACATGTACATAACACACGTTAATTCTTTTTTTTTTTTTTTCCTTTTCCTCTCTTCTCTCTCCCCTTTCTCCATCTATTGGTCCCCTTCCCTTTTGCAAAAGATGTGTCTCCCTGTTTCCTAGGATGTCTGTTATTTTGCTCTTTATTTATATTTTGGGTTTCTCTTATAAGAGAAATGCTTTCTTTTAATCAAGTTTGGGTTTGAATTTCATTTTTAATTGTTCCTGAGTGTAACTCTTACCTATCTAAATAGTAAAAACCAGTGCCTCAGGTGGACCAAGGTCAAGGGCACAGGCTGACAAGCAGATTCAGAGGGGGGAATGAGGTGTGGAGGTTGCACAGTAGCTCTGCCTGAGTACCCCAGCAGCTGGACAGGGCCTTATGTTATGTTAAGAGCTCTTGTCTTTATGTGTAACCCAAGTACTTTCTCCAAATAACAGTTTTGAGAATGCCCAGTATTTTATCCCCCTATGTTTTGAATGGGGCCTGGCAAGTTCAGATGAATCTGAAGACTGGTCAGTTTGATTCTCTTTGAAATACAAAATTTCTCTCTCAATGACTTTTAAGACCTGCAGTATTAATAAAATTAAGTAATCAGATTATGCTTCTGGCTCCCTTCTTTTTGCATAAAAAGATTTTACTTTCTCTTTTTAAATTTTATTTATTTATATTTTTAAGATTTTACTTTCTGTACAGCAGCTTTGGTCAAGGGAAAGAGTATAGTCCTAAGAGTTAAAAACCTTGGGCCTCAGTCTAGATTCTGCTATTTATTAATTTTCTGCTCAGTAGGCAGGACCCTTCATGCATTAAACTTCAGCTTCCACGTCTGTAATCCAGGGACAGTCACCCTTGGCCTGCCCTCTTGCCTTGTAGTATTAAGTCCCACATGAGGTTAGGCATGAAAAAGTGCTTTTTTAATTAAATGACTTAGCATAAGTAATTGTACTGAGAGTTTAAAAAAAAAAATTCTTTTTATATTGAGGATCGAACTCAGGACCTTGTGCTTGCAAAGCAGGCAGCGCCACCACTGGACTAAATCCCCGGCCCTTTTTTGATTGTTTTGACACAGATTCTTTTATAATAAAAGGCAGCTTTGTGACTTTGAGAAAGCTGCTTAGTCTTTCTGTGACTCAGATGTCTCATTTGTGAATGGGAGAACCCCAGAAAGTTGCTGTCAAATAAAATGAGGTCCTGTTGCGTCAGAAGTGTCAGCCAATATGACTTTATCACTGTGAGTTTGCATCATATGCTAACTTATGGCCTTCCCAAGAGTTACAGAGCCAACCCCCTTCTAGATCTCTGACCCCTTCACAGTGAAACGGGGTTGCCATTATTTTGTGTAATGATTACAACAAACAAATATACTAATGTGAATTAAGGTTAAAGAGGTTTAGTGTTAAAAATGGTGAAATAAATTTTAGATAAGAAAGAACAGTTCAGAATTCTCCACCCATCTCTCCCTACTCCATGGACTTGATTGCTATCTCCAAGGCAGACTGGTTTGGGTGCTCATACACCTACACAAGGAGTTTCTCCTTGGTGCACCTTGTAGTCTTGTGCAGTGGTTTACACATAAGAGAATCAAGGAGTTTCTACACAAGGAGTTTCTCCTTGGTGCACCTTGTAGTCTTGTGCAGTGGTTTACACATAAGACATCACAGTACAGGGATGCACATCACCATGCATTTAAAACCGTGTACTTGTACTCTAAGAACTAACTAAGGGATTTTCAAGACTCATTTTGACTTTTTCCAATAGTAACTTTTGAACTGACCTTACAGCCACTTGACTTTATTCAGCATGTCAGCATGGGATGTTGTGAGTCCTTTTCAAGCAGCTAAGTGCTAACGTGAGCTTATACAGGCTAACAGGAGCTGACTTAAAATTTCAGGAATCTTGCGAGCCAACTGATGGCACATTGGCAGTTTGCAGTGAGCTGTGATAGAAGTGTTTATACCATGGAAATTGACAAACGTCAGTCAGAATTTCCCACAGGAGCCAGTTGTTAGACATTACCAGCACACCACTGTGTTTTATATATATTAGAATCATGAAATTTCAGCCAAATTAGGCCCTCTTAAGTTTGTGTGAGTGTCTGTCTGTGGGTCTCTCTTTCAGGATGAGATTTAGAAGAGAAGGTGACTTATGTGAAGGATGTTAGTCAGAGGCTGGACTTCAACCCAGGATTCTACCCATATCCTAGTTCAGATTCATTATGTGGGGAGCTCATGATAAAATATGAATTATAAAATTACAAATTATTGCAGTTAACTTTTTGAGTTAGGTACCAGTCACAATCTCCAATTATAGTAGCAATCTTATAGCCCTTTTGTTTTTTTAACCCTCAACAAAATGTCTTTTCTTTTTCTTGCTATATTATTGATCCTGGGGTTTCGTGGCCTTTGGTAAGCACATAGAGCTCGAGTAAAGCTGATTTCATCTTTAAGACAGAACAAAGAAAACCATTTCTTTCAAACTGAGCTGCTCTCATGATATTAGGGCTTCCAAGGAGATATAGAATACCTAAGGAGACTTAGCATTCTTAGGCTTATTTGCTATGAAGAGGAACATCGTTAGGTTTAATAGTAACTTTAGGAGACACCCTATATTTAAGCTTGTGTGTCTGACTTATTTCACTTAACATTGTGTTCCCACGTTGCATTATTTTTTCCATAGAAGTGAGAAGAGTTTAAAAATACTTTCTAATATCTACTTGTGTTACATTAAAATAAAAAAATTTTAAAAAAGCTTTAGGAAGCACCTGTCTTCAAAAAAGAATTCTGTTGGTACTGTCTCTTACATGCTGTCCTCTTGATAGAGAGTTCAGCCCTGTTTTTTTGTCCTGGTTTAAAAATGTGGCCATTCAGAGAAGCGTAATGATCCAACTCAGGCCTCCCAGTTCTGCACTGAAATGTTGACCGGTGTGGAAAAGGCAGTGCTCAAAGGAGCTGCCACAGAAAGCATTTACTTTTTAAAGAAAGTTTTAAAACTTTATATTTTAGAAATACTTTTTTTAAAGCACATTAGAATGAAATGATTGTATTTTAAAGTTTTTTTGTGGACTGCGGCTGATTTTTTTGTGTCATGTTTTGAAATTTGGGAGTTCTGTAAGGAATGCTGCCCGCCTGGAGCCTCACCTTTCATTGCAACAGAGCCTGTAACCAATTGGGTTTCAAAACCTCCTATCTGGAAGACTTATCAGGGCTTTGGCCTTGAAAGGAATGTGTTTCTCCTAATGTTTATTAAACAAGTGATGTGCAAAGGAGTGGAATCTCTCTTTCGGGTGTTGGCAAAAGAGGACACTCTTTGTTTCTAGTCTTCAGTCTGAGATTTCTTTTGAAAGGATTGCATCTGTATGTATTTCATATATACATGTGAATATTTTTACAGGGAATGAAAAAGACTCGAGTGGATGCAAAAAAAGTTGGTCCTCTTAAGTTGGCCGCTCTCAATGGACTCTCCCTGTCCCGACTGCCTCTGCCTGATGAAGGAAAGGAAGTGTCCACCAGAGCGACGAATGATGAAAGGGTATGTCTGTGAAGGATGCATTGGCTTTGTGCATACTACAAAAATGTCTTTATGAAGTTTCAGTGAATTTTCTAGCACAATTTAATAATTAGAAATGAATGTTAAGGAATTTTATAATCTGAGCCACAAAATTGGAGCACACGTTTAGCTAATGTCTTAGTAGATAATTTCAGGCTTGGATGTTTATTTCTTGTTTTTTAATGTTCTTCTTTGTCTTCTGCCAGTTGTTTGGGGCAGTCTTGGTTTTTTTTTTTGGTACCAGGGATCAAACTTGGGACCTTGTGCTTGTGAGGCAGGTGCGGAACCACTGAGCTAAATCCTTGGCCCCAGTCTTGGTTTTTGATGGTCTTAACGTGAGAAAAATGTATATGTGTACACATAAGAAAGAAAGCAGACATTGACTGTTTCATTATATCGAAAATTTATCTTAAGAGTAAATATTACCAGAGTTTTTAAACTTCTTTATAAGATATATTTTCAATTCAATTTTATTATAAAAATCAGATAAGCATGAATTTGTTTTTAGCCCAGTCCTAGAAGTGGTTCCTAGTTTACTACTGTTTTCAGTATTTTATATATCATTTATTACAAAAGGGAAGTACTTGTAGATGTTGGAACTGATTATCCTACCCTAAAATTTATAGTACTGCTCACTGGAGAATTCTGTTTCCTAAGGGTCTCAAAATTGACCATTGACTTAGAGAAAAAAAAAAATTCAACAAATTACTTCAGGCCAATTATTAACTTTAAACAGAATGTTGCATTATATGAATTGCCAACAAAGATATGGTTTTTGTTCTTTTTTTTTTGGTTTTGGGGATCGAACTTGGGACCTTGCACTTGCATGGCAGGCGGCAGAACCACTGAGCTAAATCCCCAGCCCTGGTTTTTGTTCTTCAACTTGTTGTGGCTTGTTAATATTTTAACTTTGAGGGGCCGGGGATTTAGCTCAGTGGTTCTGCCGCCTGCCTCACAAGTGCAAGGGCCCGAGTTTGATCCCAGTACCAAAAAAAAAAATTTAACTTTGGTTTCATGTAGAATTTTCAATATTTCATGTAGAATATTCAGTAGGTAATGCTGGACTTGAAGCAGAAAACAAAGATTTCAAATGTATGTCAAAATGCAGCAGTGCAATAACTATATTCATTTTATCCCGTGTTTTATTTATAGTGTAAAATGCTGGAACAGCGGTTAGAACAGGGAATGGTATTCACAGAATATGAAAGAATTCCTAAAAAACGGCTAGTTGATGGGGTGTGCTCAACAGCCCGACTCCCTGAAAATGCAGAAAGAAATAGATTTCAGGATGTCCTTCCCTATGAAGATGCGAGAGTGGAGTTGGTCCCCACCAAGGAAAACAATACTGGTTATATCAACGCATCACATATTAAGGTGAGAGTAACATCCAGAGCAATAAATAGCACATGTAGTTTTGGGTAGGAACGGTAAGAATTGTATTCTGATCTGTATTCTAAAAACACCCCAGTTTTGAATCATTGTGGCAGCTACGTTCTGGAAAGTCCATACTTCAGTGTCACATGAGGTGTTTATCAGACAGAGTCAGAATCCTGTCCATGTCTCCCTATGGAAAACCTCTCTGTCCCCAATACTGTCACCAGGTCTTAGGCTGCCTTTATTTGCCTGACTTTAGAACTTTGTCCTTTTAACTCTGAAGACCTCTTTCTAGCTCATAAATTCTTATTTGGCTTAACATACGACAGAGAATGAAAAAGACTCAAGTAGATGCAAAAAAAATTCTTACAGGAGCCACTGAATTGCTTGCTAGTGTTTCCTCTTCACATACCTGCATATACTTTTATGTTACAAAGGTGTCTGGGGTTTTCAATGGTGTTCACAAAAGCTTTTACTTCTGAAGGTGCCATCTGTTCTCTTTGCATCCTTCTGTGATTGTTTTTAAATATCACTTTGTTCTTTGAAAGACTTTTTTTTTCCCTAAAAACAGTCTGATGCCATTTAAATGGGGTAATGTTACAGTCTTTAAAATAGAAAAAGTGATGATTCAGAACAGGTGGCTGAGTAAAGCCAGATGTTCTGTCTTCTCCATCTTTGTGCTCTTTGTTCTTGCTGGCTAGACTTGCTTCTTTACTTTGGAAAGGAGAAATGAGTAGGTGTCTATGGTTTGGTGTTAATTTTTTTCTTTCCCACGTTTTCTTCAGTTTGCAAGTCATATTTGATAAGAGAGCAGTCTGACGCCTGAGGCTTTCTGAAGACCTTGCAATCTCTGTGTGCTTGCTAGCACCCCTTGGTGGTTTTTAAGAATTATGCATGTACTATCTTGTTTTCTTTTTATTTGGATATCATGTACTTAAAAACCAAGCATTTGACTGGATAGATAAGAACTGAATGACGCTGAGGCTCTGAAGTGTTATTAGTGGCCACCTGAAGAATAGAGGAGAGAGGATGAGCTTCAGAATTGGAAAGAGACAGTTCCTAGATATACTACGTGCCAGCCGTGAGACCTCAGTTTGAGCATTTCTTAGTATAGAAACGTAATCCCTTTACCCCACAGGCTTTGACTGCTGTATCACCTGTGAGGCCCACCTGTCTGCCACCAAGAGGGTGTTCAGTGAGACAGTGTGCAGTTGGGCTGGGGCTGGCAGTGGGAGAGGATAGCATGTGGGAACAGGGCTTGCATAGGGTTTGATGTTTGATGGGCAGTCAGAATACAGTTATTGTCTTCACTCAATATCAGTGGAGTTGAGATATAAGCCAGGTTTCTGAGCTGCATATTCAGTCATTACCCTGTTATATTAGACTGTTTTTAAGGATATGGAGTCTTAACTTGAAACTTGGTATATTATGGGAAGTTAACTCAACTTACAAGTTTGGAGGTGAGACCACCTTGAGTAGGAAGTTTTTTTTCTCTTCTAAATTTGACATTTAACTTCGGGGTTGGTTTTAATTGTCAGTCCTTTTTCCATCATCTTTTACTACTTCAGGGGGCAAATTCTGTTTGAAATTTGGGGTACTATGATGTCTATATTACCTTTATGAAAGGAACCATCGCAGCAATAAAGTGCTTATTCTGTGACAGGCACCATATATATCTTCTCAGTCTTCACAACAGCCCTATGAGGATAGGCAACGTTTTTATTTTATAGATAAGAACTGAGACTTAGGGGTTGTCAGATTGCCCCAGGTCACATAGGTGTGATGTAAATTCACAGTACACAATTTATAAAAATGGCAGTAATGGATATAATATTGACAAAGATCTAAGCCTCTTCTTATTCTGCTGAATAATCCATTTCACTTTTTTAGGGCTACCATGAACACATACCTAGAATCATACATATATTCTTTACACACACACACACACACACAGACACACACACACACACACACACACACACACGCGCGCGCACAGAGTAATTTTTTAACCTTTTCTAATTCCAGGTCTCTGTCAGTGGAATTGAGTGGGATTATATTGCCACACAGGGACCATTACAAAATACCTGTCAGGATTTTTGGCAGATGGTATGGGAACAGGGAATTGCAATTATAGCAATGGTGACAGCAGAAGAGGTAAGCGCTCGTTTCTGTTAATTGATTTTCTCAGCCTCCAAAGAACTATTTATGTTAATCACATAGAATCCTGACCTTTAGAGACAAAGGCAGGGTGGGATGGTGATTCTGAGTTTCAGACACTACCTGTGTGAAGGGCACCTGTGGCTGGATCTCGTGCTGCTGTTGAACCGTACTTGTCTTTAACAGGAGGGTGGAAGGGAGAAGAGCTTTAGGTATTGGCCACGACTTGGTTCCAGGCACAACACCGTCACCTATGGGAGGTTTAAGATCACAACTCGGTTCCGCACGGACTCTGGCTGCTATGCCACCACAGGCTTGAAGATGAAGCATCTTCTCACGGGGCAGGAGAGGACAGTTTGGCATCTCCAGTACACAGACTGGCCTGAGCATGGCTGTCCTGAGGACCTCAAGGGATTTTTATGTAAGTGTCTTTGTTTCCAGGACAGCCTCCTCAGGCCAGAGAAGAAGACTTTGTTTCTGAAATACTTCCTTTGTGTTGTCTCATACAAGCTTTAGACTTGTTTTAAAATAAAGAATATAAATGCTTTGGAAAGGCTTGCCAGGAGACATTTTAAAGATACAGTCTGGTAGCAAGTGGAGTGTCACTACCAACCCTCAGAGCATGTCCCTCCAGGCAGTTTGGAGATGAGAAAGTGGAGGCCAGGCAGAGGCGCTGATTTTCCCACAGCCACAGGCAGTGGCTAGGGTGGGTTGCCTGGCACCCAGTGCTGCTATTTGTAATTTTCTCAATCCATGGAGAGAATGTGAAAATTGAGGTGTCAATTCAATATGCTTTAATCCCTGAGTATTCTTCTGTTTCATGATTTTTCACAGCATACCTTGAAGAGATCCAGTCTGTTCGACGCCATACTAATAGCACAAGTGAACCCAGAAGCCTCAACCCTCCACTGTTGGTCCACTGCAGCGCTGGGGTAGGAAGGACTGGCGTTGTCATTCTGTCAGAGATCATGATTGCCTGTCTGGAACACAATGAGGTGATAACTTCCATGTTAAGCCTGACCTTTTTTGGAGGGGAAAATAATAGGCTGGGAAGGAGAGAGGCATAGTCACCTACAAGCCCGTTTGGACACATTTCTTGGGACTGTGGTGGCCGCAGAATGTTACTGTCTTCCCTGCAAAAGATGGTGTCTTCTTGGAGATTTTCAGAACCTACTAGCATATTAAGGACTGAGACACCATCCAGTAAATAAGGCTCAAATGTTTTTTACATTTGAACTCACAACTCTATTTTTCCTGGAATACCTTTTAGTATTTCAAGGATGATTAGTGTGGCCTGGTATCTCCGTGGGAAATGCTGAACTAAACTCTGATAGCACCTAGCACACCGTGTTTCTGTTGAATCTTGGTAATCTAGTGAGAAAGAGATTTACATAGAACCAAAGTCAGAGAGCTATGCTCAGGGAACACTGAAGAAACAATTTGCATGGATGTTCTGTTTGTGTTTAATAAGATGGCAGCAGTCATGGATTACAGAAGATGCTAAGGCTGAGCAGAGACCAGAGCGTGCCCATCTCCTAACCAGATTTCGCTAGGGCACCAGCTGTCCCCCAGCCTTTTTCTCCTCTGAGAAGAGGATTGCCTTCATCACTGTTTTTCTTGCCCTAGGTGCTGGACATCCCAAGAGTGCTGGACATGCTCAGGCAACAGAGAATGATGCTGGTACAGACGCTCTGCCAGTACACGTTTGTGTACAAAGTGCTCATTCAGTTCCTGAAAAGCTCCAGGCTCATCTGAGCTCCCATACCTTCTTACGGGGACCCAATCATACGAAGTGTTAACAACTTTAAAAAAAAGTGCTTGCCTAACTCATGCTTTCTCCTCGACACTTGATCACACTAGAAATCCATCAGGACAGGAATGGTACAGTGTGAGTAGCAGTGCACTAGAGGAAATGTGAAAAGCATGAGGCTGAAGAGGGGGATCTGGGACCTGGGACAGGTGCGGAAGGAGGAGGACTCGGTTTCCAGGGCATTGTCCTGCTTCGGGCTGTCTGATTTGCGCTTCTTGCACACATTTTGGAGATTGTATTTTCTAGACAATTCTATTACTGAAGCTATTCTGGACACTTCTGGCAATCATTAAAACATAGATTTCTATCTTAAGCTAGTTTTTGATGATGGAATTTTATGTTATGACTGAAATATTTAGCGGTCTTCTTAGTGACAAACTGAACTTTCTATGGGGGTGATCCACAGATTGAGTGGTTTGTGTACAACATGTTTAAAACCATATTATCTTTTGTTATTTTTTTAAAAAACCTTGGGTACTTAATGGTTTAGTTTCCAAGCTCAAACTATAAAGAGAATCTGAAAGTGTTATTTTGAAACATAGAAAGCATTTTTATATTCAGAAAATTTTTTATCCTAAAAAAATCTATATATTTGTACCTTCTGAATTTTCCAAACAGGGCTCAACTCACAAAGATACTGAAATGCATCAGTTAATGTAAATAAAAGTTGAGAATGAAGACACATGGCTTAAAATGCAAGAAAATCAGATTCACTATTTTTTCAGTATTACTCGTAAGCCTAAAAGAGTTTTATTTTATTGGTTGAAAATGAAGTGAAAAACAATTGCATAGGATGGTTTTAAGCACTTTTTCTGTTAAAAACAAAATCTGAGTTTTAATATATGTTTTGCTTTATTACTTGAGAATAACAATGGCAGTTGTTGTGGATGTGTTTTGTAGAGGATTAAGAGTATGTGGAATTAGGCTGGGGATTTAGCTTAGTGGTGCCGCCACCTGCCTCGCAAGGGCAAGGTAGTGAGTTCGATCCCCAGTACCAAAAAAAAAAAGAGTATATGGGATGATGAGACCAGAGTAGGTGGCGTGTGATGGTAAAGCAGGATGATTTGTCGTTGCAGAAATGCAGTGTTATCTCTGCTCAGACTGAGAGGCCAGGGCGGAGAGTGAGGCCGAGAGTATGGGGCCCAAGCCCCCGGCTTATCCCAGGGCATTCACAGCCTCCCACTGTCTATTACTCTGTTTTCTTGGGATTCTTCCTCCAAATCCTGCATTATTTTTTCCCCCCACAAATCGAGGTTTGTATTATCATTCAAAGAAGCCTTGAAGAGGCTTTATTTTATTTTGATTGAAATAAGGGAATAGTAAGTAGCTTCAACTCTTCTCGCAAATCCACAGCCCAAATTTGTGGGGCCACCAGAAATTGCTGTGGTATTAGGCGGTACTTGAAGTTTACCTCCTGAATCCTCTAGCGTTCAGCCCTGGGTTCAGTTTTAAGTAGTTAGTCCCCTCTCCCCCATCCCACTGAGGCACAGCCCATGAGACTGCTAGACTGAGTTGAAGTGGGAGAGCATCGTCTTTGGCAGCCTAAGGTGGCTTCATGCGCACTTCCTGTTGAGTTGGCAAGGATGAACTGGTACAGGTAGCTGAGGAGCCATCTCCTTTTCCCGGATTCTGAGGCTGATTCCCCACAATAGAGAGCTTCTAAAATGTCGATTCTAGCATTATTTCCCCAAATCACAATATTCTAAGCATTTTTCTCATTCCCATTTCCTCCCTAAAGCAGTTAAACTTACTATCATAACAGCTGAATACATGTCATCAGCCACAAGATGGGACTTCCAACCTAACTGCACCCAGAAACCAGCCACTTTGGGGGAAAAGTCGGATAATTCAAATGAAAGGCAGTACTGAAAGTGGACATCTCACTTAGGAACAAGATACCAATTTTAAATCTAAAATTATCTTAAGACTTTGGTTAAAGAATAGACTCAAGTGAAAATACTCCAAAAAAGCTCCTCAGAAGAAATGAAGTAAGAGGTTTTTAAAATACTAATATTTCTCATTCCTACATTATTTAAGGACAGGATTTTTTTCTGAAGCTTTTTGTTTTCCAATGGTACGTTTTTGAAAAATGCCTATCAGGGTTACAGTTTGAAGTGACCATTGACAAGAACATAGTGTAAAGCAAAAGTCTAATTAAAGAGTAATATATGGTATATTTGTATTCCTGCTGTGATAATTTGATAAGTAAAATTTTAAGAGGGCAAAATTACACTGTTTAAATCTGTCACTCTTAAAATGTCACGTTTGACATCACTTCTAAGTATCATGTAATTTTAAACTTAGTTGCAGTTACTGAATAAGAAAATTTCTAAATAAAAATAAATGTACACTATTGGACTTTGAAATAATGTGATTTACAAGAACAAATTATGTAGAACATTGAGGTTCCATAGGTTTACGACCTCTGGATTCAGGACATTACTATGTGGCAGCCTTATACGATGGTTTCTGTCTTAGTGTCTTTTAGTTCCTTAATATTAATTTCATGTCAGAATTACCAAAACGTACATTTCCACAAAGGGTCGGTTACAAACCAGTGTTTCTACTGATCACCTTTGGTATCTCTTGTATCAGTTTTTCTGATTAGTGGGGTTCTTTCTTGAAATTTTCTAGTTGACAGTTTTGAGCCCAGAAAGTGATCATTTAAAAATACGATCAGGGATGTTAGTTATAGTCATTATTAAGTATTTTCTTCTGAAACATCTACTGTGAAGCATTCAGGAAGCTGTAGAATTTAGTATTTAAAAAATCCCTTGGCAGGATTAAAACAGAAGCTGGACCCGTGCTTCCTTAGAAACTTCCAGAAACAGAAATAGCCCAAAATACAAAGGAGGGAGGCAGCATGGCTTGGCCAGTGCCATTTCAAATATGCTGATAGGTTGATGTTCACAATAGTAAGAAAAGGTGGCTAAATATATAAAGTGTACAGCTCTATAATATGTATTAGAGGTCAGCTGCAGTTTATCAAGAACAAGTATATTAAGATTTGTATGAACAAATAGAGACAGGAATTACTATTTATTGTAAATTTTTTTCAAAGCTGTGGCTTGAAGTAATGTATTATTTTTTTGGTTAGACTTTTTAAAGGACTGTCTTGGATATAAATTTAGGAGAATTGGCTTTCCACCAAGAAGATTACATAGCTAAAATGATTCCTTCCCAGTTTGAAGTTTATTTAAAAAGCCAAAAAAGAATGTTATATTCTATGAGGCTCTCTTTTGAGCTGAGGGACAGGGATTTAAGAAGTAGAGAGAATGCTGCATTAAGAATTTGCCTAAGACCCAGGCGTGGTGGCACAGACCTGTAATCCTAGCACTCAGGAGGCTGAGACAGGAGGATGGCTGCAAATTTGAGGCCATCCTGGGGCTATGGAGTGAGTTTAAGGCCAGTTTAAGCTATATATCAAGTCCCTGTCTCAGAAAAACAAAACAACAACAACAACAAATTTTTTTTTTCCTGAGGAAACATATCTCAAAACAACACAAGTTTTTGAAATTCCAGTAGACAAAGGCTCCATTTATCCTGTCATCGATAGTTACTTATAGAAAAATGAGTAAATATCAGAAAATTCAGGGTCTGTGTGTTTTGGAGGTGGGTGGACTTTAGAAAATATTTGAAAGGTCCTTGGATTGTTAAAGTGGTAAAATTTTCTGTATATTTTAGGCAATTCCCAAATAAAAATTTTACTGTACAAGTTCACTTCTGTGTTGAATTGAGATATAGTAACACTCATGTAAATGGTACTCTGAGTTTTACTTTCTTGGTTTGTCCTTCTGAAGGTTACATAAACCACAGGGGGCCTGAATGTGGTACGGAACCACATCACTGTTGTTTTGTACTCCCAAGAGTATGTAGGGCAACTTTTCCCCCTACTTTTTGCCCTGGTAGTGAGATCGGAGCATGAATCTCCCTGGTTCTGCCAGGCAGTGGCAACTGCGGCTCAGAAAACAATTGAGGTCAGATTGGCCAATGGTGGAGGGGAAATCTTTACAGGAGTATCAGCATTGGTTGCAGAAACTTGAGTGGCGTGTGGGTAAGGAACAGGGAAGACTTTGAAGTGAGCACCAGTGGTGCCTGTGAAACTTCCTGTCACATGTGGCAGGTAAGAGTAAATTAGGAAAACACACCTCTACCTTTCCCGTTGCTACTTGCTTATCCTATCCTCCTCAGTATTGTCCAGGGATTGAAATGGGGGGAAAGGTATGGGCTAAGGAAGTGTAAGGTCTACAGCACCCAGCTGAGGGAGGGGCAGTTCGAGTCAAATGGTATTGTGTAAAGGATATCTCTAGGTCACCTTTGAGGAATTAAGATCGGCCTGCACATTGTTTCTACAAATGTCTAGTCTGAAAAATTAAAATACTTAGTTTTCAAAACTTTGGGGTAAAAATCTAAACATTTTCCAATATTTTGATGGGTTAACCATATGCTTTTAGGTTAAGCTTTAACTTTCTAAACAAGTACCAACGCACACAGGAAAGGAATAATTGTGTTTGCATTTCTGCCTGTAGGACTTGTAACAGTATGTTTTATATAGGGTCCCAAATTTCTGAAAATTACTAGTTAGATAAGTGTTTTTGTCATTATTCTTTAACTTCCATTTAATGACTTTGTTGTGTGGCAAATAAAAGGACCATATAAAATCTGTGCAACCCCTTGGCTCGTCCACGGTCTGGGGTTTGTGTGCGGGTAGAGCAGCACAGATACAGTGTAATTTCAGTGTAAAAAACCCACAATTTTAACTGAACTGGTAGGTCCATTGTAAACTGTAAAAAAGACTGGTAGTTTATTTCAGTTGTCAAACATAAATACTATTAACATTTAAGTGTCCGTGTGTATTTTGAATTTGCACTTAAAACTTGGTAAAACAAAAATCTACACAATTCACTTTTTTTTTTTTTTTGGTACTGGGGATCGAACTCGGAACCTTGCGTTTGCGAGGCAGGTGGTGGAATCACTGAGCTAAATCCCCAGCTAGAATTCACTCTTTGGAGCAAATCCACACTGCCAAAGAAATTCATAAGGTTGGATTATTACTGGGTTGGCAAGAATATGAATCCATCATGTTTCATTTTTTTGAGTAAATTGATGAGGCTGGTTCAGATTTAATGATAGTTGGATTTCCATTTCCATCTGCTAATTCATCAAATGAGAATTGAACAAATGAACGGGAAATATCAATTTAGGTACTCAATTTTCATAAGACACAAATATCACAGGTCAGACTGCTTCCATATGCTAAGAGGCTGTCCAAATTGTTTTTTATCCTGGAAGTTTATTAAAGATCACCTGAAATTAATGGACCATTGAATGAGACAAAGCTTTTGTTACTTAGAGTGATATTTATTAAATAATGTCTTAATTTTATAAAATGTCCTGAAAGCATTTTGGAAAGCTTTTATATTTTACTGGAATAATACCGAATAATACCAGTGCAACATTAGTTCAGTCCAATAAATAGTCTGAAAGAAGTAAAAATATCCACCAGAAGTGACAGAGTTATTTGCAGAACAGATTTTTTTTTGGTACTGGGAATCGAACTCCAGTCCTTGCGCTTGCGCAGCAGGCAGCGAAACCCTTGAGCTAAATCCCCGGCCCTGCAGAACAAATTTAATAAAGACAGAATTTAAAATAATATAAAACCTTTAGCCCATGTGAGTCAAACAAAAAGGCAAAAGAAAAAGTATAAGAAAATAGAGTAATCTCCAACTACTGTTTGTGGTACAGCTGTAATGGGTCATAGCCACATAGTTTGGTCTTTGTGGCACAATAGAGAAATCGAGGAAGCAGTTGTATAGGGATGACTCTTAATGTTTTTCAAAAACTTCTAATAATATGGTTGGTTTTAGACCCTGTCCATATTAGAATTTTTTTACAATTCTATACTAAAGGTAATCAGCTTAATTTTTGGTAGGATTGAGTTATTATATATTAATCAGTATAGTCAAATTCTAAGCAACAGATTAAATAAAAATACTTCTCAATGCCTCATGAGATTTAAAAAACTTACACAATTAAACCTTACTTGGGCCAGGGATTTATTTAGCTCAGTGGTTCCGCCGCCTGCCTCCCAAGTGCAAGAAACCGAGTTCGATCCTGGATACCAAAAACAAACAAACAAAAAAACCTTACTCGAAAGATTGATTTGGCAATGGGCTGATATAATTTTGCTTTTTATTGTGTTCCCCAGTAATTTTTACATTAAAATATAAAATACCTAGATTTTTATGTGTTAGTTTTAAAATGTCACACTTAAAAGAGTATTAGCCTTTTATGTTTTGCTGTGACAGAATACCTGATATCTTATGGTCATGGTGGCTGGGAAAGGGGCCTTGCTGCTTGGTCCTTGAAGAAGGTGTGTGTAGGGAGATGGCTCTTCATAACACTCTCCTGAGATGTGGTAATAGCATTAATCCCTTCGTGAGGGCTCTGCCTCCTGAAGGCTCCACCTTCCAGATCCACTGCATTGGGGATTAAGTTCTCAATGAATGAACCTGGGGGACACATTCAAGCCATGCCATTAAGTATTTTCTATGAAGTCATCTCAATGTTTTAATGTATTGTACTTAATAGAGGAAAATATTCTGATTTATAACGAAGCTCTTTAGTGTGAATGAAGAATTACACTGTAACAAACCAGAACTTTGGTGTACACTTCTGTGTTTTATTAGCTGATTAAAGACAAGCAACTCAAATGCCACCCACAGTAAATTTAGCAAAGCATAGTCTAAAAAAATCTATGAAGCAAGCTTATTTAAAACAAAGCCAACAGTTTAATGTGATTTGATATGCCTAACAAACAAAAACAAAATTCGGAGAAAAATTATATGAAATATACACCAGAAACTTGCCCTATAATTCAAGCCATGCACTGGGAATTCTAACTTTCAAAATAATAGAATATTTGTCTAGTATCTTCGAGTTTAAAAAGCAATATTATGTACTATTGTTTGAAGATAATATAAAAATGTCTAATGAAAGCTTAATTCTTCTAAACTATTGGTTTGTATAAGTGTGTACATTTAATGGGCAAAAAAGCTTGAATGGCTGAATATATTAATGTGAAATGAATATATTATAGTCTATTTTTGCCATGAAAATAAATATGTAAAGAAACATGACTTGTGTGTGAATATAGTGTAATTAAATCTATTTTTGCCTCTTTTCACTGTAGGTCTTTTGGATATAGGTATATAATTAAATTAGTCCTATTTCTTCATTCCATTATTTAATGTGCTGCATAAGAGATGTTTTAATAGTTGCCAACCTGTCATCACACATCTCCATAGTAATTAATCATTTGAAAGTTAGAATGCACCTGTCAAAATAGCCAGCTTCAGTAACGAGGGTATTTATGGAACAATTAACATAGTTGAAGAATAAATGTTAGTTGGTGCAGTTCCCAACAATATCAACTTTGTAGTGGGTCTATGGAGCTCCCATGGTTATCCCTGTATTGGAACTTACTGCTATTTATTGGTTTCTACATCATCCATCTTTTAACGGGGTTATTTCTGGACCACCAGCAGCAGCACTTGGAATCTTGTTAGGAATGTGAATTCTTGAACTCTACCCCCAATCTGAAATTCTGAATTAGAAGCCACGGGGTCAGGGCCCAGAAATTTGCCTTAACAAGTTCTCTAGGGGATTCTGATGCACATTGGTTTGAGAACCACTGTTTTAGTAATTAAAAAGCCATAGATGTTCAACATGGATCCCAATTTGGGATTCATTACACAGCTGAACTATAATTAATAGGCTCTGAAGTTTAGGCAGTTTTTTATTTGGTTAATGATACTTATAGTTGTGGTAGGATGAATAATGGCTCCCCAAAGATAACCACACCCTAATCCTCTGAAGTTGTGAATGTTATTGTACATGGTAAAAGGGACTTTTCAGCTGTGATTAAGGATCTTTAAATGGAGAGATGATCCTAGATTATCTATGTGGGCTCAAAGTAATCACAAAGGTGTTTATAAGGGAGATATATTTGAAGATCCTACTGGACTGGAAGATGGAGGCAGCCACAAATGAAGGGCTACAGGTGACTTCAAAGCTGAAAAAGGCAAAAATCTCCCCTGGAGCCCAAAAGGAGTGCAGCCATGGCAAACCCTTGATTGTAGGACTTTCAACTTTCAGAACTGTTTGCGGTAACATTAGCAGCAGTAGAAAACCAGTACAATTGTATAGTCTCCCTTTCAGGAGAAATTCGAAGGTTAACTCAGCCATTTAAGGATATCCAAAGAACTAGTTGAGTTTTGGAAGCTTCATATTCAGGACTGCTAGGTGTTTTTGTATCAAATTTGAATGTTAGTACAAACAAGGATTCCCAAGCCAACAAGATTTGCCCTAGAGCAAAATTTTCCTTACAATCCAAGCTGTTCCTACTGGCCTTTGAACACATGGACTTGTTCCTTTTGGGTATACCATTCATTCCTCATTCCATCTGCCTGCTTTTAAAAGATCTAGGGAAAGTAGCTTGTTAGGGTGCCATCTTCTATCTCCAGAGTGTGAAGCAATTTAGCAGATTGCTTTCCAATACTACCCTAGCACATGAAAGGTGAATGGATATTTCTACTTCTAGATAAAATTATGCAGACCTTAAGAATTAAGATAAAACTAACTTTGGTGTATTAAAGTGAAAAGAAATTTTTGGCATCTAGCCCAAGCTCTTTAAAACCAAGGCCCACAATA